TCAGTCAGATTCATTCTGGGCATGCCTTTGTGTCCGTGGACACAGAGAGAGAGTGGTGACCAGTTATATGGTCAGGTGCTGCAAAGAAGGACCTAGAAAAACTGCAGCTGGCCCAGAACAGAGCGGCATGTCCTACTCTTCACTGTGTTCAGAGGGCTAATATCAATACTATGCATCAGTCAATCAATCAAATGTATTTATAATGCCCCTTTTACATCAGCAGTTGTCACAAAGTGTTTATACAGAAACCGAGCCTAAAACCCCATAGAGCAAGCAATGCAGATGTAGAAGCATGGTGGCTAGGAAAAACTCCCTAGAAAGGCTGGAATCTAAGAAGAAACCTAGAGAGGAACCAGGCTCTGAGGGGTGGCCATTCCTCTTCTGGCTGTGCTGGTGGAGATTATAAGAGTACATGGCCATTAAGGCCAGATCTTTCTTCAAGATGTTCAAACGTTCATAGATGACCAGCAGGGTCAAATAATAATCACAGTGGTTATAGAGGGTGCAACAAGTCAGCACCTCAGGAGTAAATGTCAGTTGGCTTTTCATAACCGAGCATTCAGAGGTCGAGACAGTAGGTGCGGAGTAGCACGAACAGTGAACAGGTCAGGGTTCCATAGCTGCAGGCAGAACAGCAGAAACTGGACCAGTAGCACGTCCGGTGAACAGGTTGGGATTACATGCCAGTCTCACTTGGCTAAAAGTAAAGGAGAGGCTCACTGCATCACTTCTTGTTTTTAATTTGTTGAAAATTCCAAATTGTTTTCATAGTCAACTTACCCACAGCACTGACACACACTTACCCCACCAGACATGCCACCAGGGGTCTTTTCACAGTCCCCAAATCCAGAACAAATTCAAGAAAACGTACAGTATTATATAGAGCAGGATTCCCCAACTGGCGGCCCAACTGTGCAAATTTATTGTAAGACTGTAAAAACACCAGGAAATCAGCTCCAAGTTATTTAAATCTGTTCCCAAGTATTCCCACGCATAATAGAAAGACACGTGATTGTATACAAATGTAATCAAGGTTTGAAATGACTATGTTTTAGTCAAATATTATATATGTTTGGGTTTCTACAAATTATTTGCAATTATGTTCCGGCCCCCTGACCATCCACTCAAGAAAAGATCGGCCCGCGGCTGAATCTAGTTGATGATCCCTGATATAGAGCCATGATTTCATGGAATTCCCTTCCATCTCAGACTGCTCAAGTGAACAGCAAACCTGGTTTAAAAAAACTGATAAAGCAACCCCTCTCCCCTATTTACCTAGATATTTTGTGTGTAAGGTACTCATATATATAGTACCAGTCAAAAGTTTGGACACACCTACTCATTCAAGGGTTTTTCTTTATTTTTACGATTTTCTACATTGTAGAATAATGAAATAACACATATGGAATCAAAAAAGTGTTAAACAAATCAAAATATATTTTATATTTGAGATTCTTCAAATAGCCACCCTTGATGACCGCTTTGCACACTCTTGACATTCTCTCAACCAGCTTCACCTGGAATGCTTTTCCAACAGTCTTGAAGGAGTTCCCACATATGCTGAGCACTTGTTGGCTGCTTTCCTTCACTCTGCCGTCCGACTCATCCCAAACCATCTCAATTGGGTTGAGGTCGGGGGATTGTGGAGGCCAGGTCATCTGATGCAGCACTCCATCACTCTCCTTCTTGGTAAAATAGCCCTTACACAGCCTGGAGGTGTGTTGGGTCATTGTCCTATTGAAAAACAAATGATAGTCCCACTAAGCCCAAACCAGATGGGATGGCGTATTGCTGCAGAATGCTGTGGTAGCCATGCTGGTTAAGTGTGCCTTGAATTCTAAATAAATCATAAACAGTGTCACCAGCAAAGCACCCCCACACAATAACACCTCCTCCTCCATGTTTTACGTTGGGAACTACACATGCGGAAATCATCCGTTCACCCACACTGCGTCTCACAAAGACACAGCGGATGGAACCAAAAATCTCAAATTTGGACTCCAGACCAAAGGACAAATTTCCACCGGTCTAATGTGGCGCAGTGGTCTAAGGCACTGCATCGCAGTGCTAGCTGTGCCACTAGAGATCCTGGTTCGAATCTAGGCTCTGTCGTAGCCGGCCGCGACCGGGAGACCCATGGGGCGTTGCACAATTGGCCCAGATTCGTCCAGGGTAGGGGAGGGAATGGCCGGCAGGGATGTAGCTCAGTTGGTAGAGCATGGCGTTTGCAACGCCAGGGTTGTGGGTTCGATTCCCACGGGGGGCCAGAATGAAAAATAAAATAATGTATGTACTCACTAACTGTAAGTCGCTCTGGATAAGAGCGTCTGCTAAATGACTAAAATGTAAATGTAATGTCCATTGCTCCTGTTTCTTGGCCCAAGCAGGTCTCTTCTTCTTATTGGTGTCCTTTAGTAGTTGTTTCTTTGCAACAATTCGACCATGAAGGCCTGACTCACACATTCCCCTCTGAACAGTTGATGATGAGATGTGTCTGTGACTTGAACTGTGTGAAGCATTTATTTGGGCTGCAATTTCTGAGGCTAGTAACTCTAATGAACTTATCCTCTGCAGCAGAGGTAACTCTGGGTCTTCCATTCCTGTGGCGGTCCTCATGAGAGCCAGTTTCATCATAGCGCTTGATGGTTTTTGCGACTGCACTTGAAGAAACTTTCAAAGTTCTTGAAATATTCCATATTGACTGACCGTCATGTCCCCCCCCCCCCTTGTCACAACACAACTGATTGGCTCAAACGCATTAAGAAGGAAAGAAATTACACAAATTAACTTTTAAGAAGGCACACCTGTTAATTGAAAAGCATTCCAGGTAACTACCTCATTTAGCTGGTTGAGAGAATGCCAAGAGTATGCAAAGCTGTCATCAAGGCAAAGCGTGGCTATTTGAAGAATCTCAAATATAAAATATATTTAGATTTGTTTAACACTTTTTTGGTTATTACATGATTCCATATGTGTTATTTCATAGTTTTGATGTCTTCACTATTATTCTACAATGTAAAAAATAGTAAAAATAAAGAAAAACCCTGTAATGAGTAGGTGTGTCCACATTTTTGACTGGTAGTGTATATGTAGGCGATGTGTGATGTTTAAAATGTACGTTGTTCTGTCCTTGAGCTGTTCCTGTCTATTAATGTTCTGTACTCCTGTAGCTCAGTTGGTAGAGCATGGTGCTTGCAACGCCAAGGTTGTGGGATCGATTCCCACGGGGGGCCAGTATGAAAAATGTATGCACTCACTAACTGTAAGTCGCTCTGGATAAGAGCGTCTGCTAAATGACTAAAATGTAAATGTAAAAATGTATTATTTCATGTTTCATGTTTTGTGTGGACCCCAGGAAGAGTAGCTGCTGCTATCGCAACAGTTAATGGGGATCCTAATAAAATACCCCCCCAAAACTCTCTCACACTTCCTGCCACCAACACCCCCCACAGGGAACCATCATCACTCCTTAAACATTAGGAACAGTCAAATGAACAGAGTGTTTGAGGTGTGCAGAGGGAGAGGACTTGAGTGGATTCTGGAGGTTGTTGCCACAGGCATTATTGCCCATCCTCTATGTTCAGGAAGTTCAGACTTTATTAAGCTCATCCCCACCCCCTCATATATACATACACCCTATGGCTTGTAATCTGTGGTGTTGAGAACTAGAGTTCACCGTCCAACACATTAAAGGCTCTGTAAAGCCATTGGTGAATGTATTAGTTCTCATCTCTCTCTCTCTCTCTCTCTCTCTCTCTCACTCACTCACTCACTCACTCACTCACTCTCACTCACTCACTCACTCACTCACTCACTCACTCACTCACTCACTCACTCACTCACTCACTCACTCACTCACTCACTCACTCACTCACTCACTCACTCACTCACTCACTCACTCACTCACTCACTCACTCACTCACTCACTCACTCACTCACTCACTCACTCACTCACTCACTCACTCACTCACACACTCACACACTCACACACTCACACACTCACACACACACACAGGTTTAGAGCCTTGGCCTCTGGCAGGCAGGTGGCTTTGTGTAGAGACAGAATGTGAACGGGGGGAGGAACTCTAATCACTATGCGCTCTGCATTTTCCCCTCTGTTCCCGGGTCGGTCGACACATTCTGCTGGCATTGTTATCTGTACTGTTTCCTGCAGCTCGCAGCTTTTGTCCGTCTCTCGCCCATTGTCCCGGCTTCCTTTGTTCCCTCCGTCTAACAATGGCTTTTGTCTCTCTCTTTATATATATATATATGTGTGTGTGTGTGCACTTTTTGCCCTGTGTGTTCTGTTTGTTTTGTTCTCCTGTCTGGTGTGTTTTTCTTTCCTCCTGCAGCGGAGGTGGGGAAAAAACACAGCTGAAGTTGGAGAGTTCATTAAGGTTCATCCTCTCTCTCTCTAACTGCCCTCTCAACCTGACTTCACTCCATCTCTCTCTTTCTGTCTTTCTCTCTTTTGTTTTTCTCTGTCTCTTTATGCTTGTGTGTGTGTGTGTGTGTGTGTGTGTGTGTGTGTGTGTGTGTGTGTGAGATGTGCAGTCTTTACCTTGTCATGATTAACTTTCCCTGACACCTACAATGTCTCCCAAACTAGAAGTTAGGATTTCAAGCTAAAGGTACAGTTGACGTGTGTGTGTGTGTTCACAGTATGTCCTCTGTGCCCTATGCAAAGCAGTGGCCCTATACACACCCACACCTAAAGCTCAGAGACCCAGAGATGGTCACACCTGGAAAGGCTTATGGTCTCATTACAGCTATTACAGACAGATCACGGTGTGTGTGTGTGTCTGTGTGTGTGTGGTTAGCTCCAGACGTGCAGTAAAGTTCAGAGTTGGGCAGTCAAAGCGACACTCAGTCAGTGGAGTGTGTGTTGTTGTGCGGCCTCTTTGTAAGGCATGTGGGCAGAACAGCGTTTGCATTGCTTTCCCCCTACATGTTCCCATGGACTATCTATTCACCTGTACTATTTTTCCCTTTTCCCCCCAGAATGGTTGAGCCCAGTCCCCCAGCGTTGCATCTCCATGCCAACGGTGATGTCAGCATGGTGGGCATCGGCGTAAAGCAGGAGAAGGAGGAGTCTGGAGGAGAAGGGGGAGGAGCCAAAGCTGAGCCGCACTCCTCTCCTGCCTGTGATTGGTCAGGACATCAGCCAATGGAGAGACCGGAGTCTAGACAGCTGACTCCTCCCCTCTCCCGCTCACCATCAGTAAGAGAGAAACTCCTCCCATTTCATTATTTTAATCAATTATTTTGTTTATCTAGGTGTGCTGTTCAACCTGTTAATCCTGTGGTCCTCTGTAGCTCAATTGGTAGAGCATGGCGCTTGTAACGCCAGGGTAGTGGGTTCGATCCCTGGTTGTAGTATGCTTATCAAAGGCAGGCTTGCTACAGTTTGTTAGCTATATGATTGTGATCTAAACGCACAGACTGACAGACAGTAGGATTGTCAAGCGTCTGCCGGACGAGAGTACTTAGCAACTCTGAACAGATTGCCGGCCGTAATTTGCAAAACAAGCACAAACCGATTCTGCATGTAGAAATGGGCAAAAATGATGGCCGGCAGTTACGCACCGGCGGGTGGTCCATATAACACACCGCGCTGACAGCAAGCGAACAAATGGCGATCGAACGGCCCCCTTCTGTACAGACTGACAATTGGTCTAGTAAGTTTTCTCCTTAACGCTGTTTTTCCCTGTCCTTGGTAGGAGGGCTCTCCGGGTAAGGAACAGCTTCTCAGACAGAGTCCTGTGGGGATGAAGGGGGGCAACAGGGGGTACGACCACCGACCAGAGGGACACATGCACCCCACTGTCAGCGAAGGTATTGTACACCTCGTCTGCTCCCCAGTGTAATATGTTTCTGATCATTACATTGCCCTTTGGAGATCTCTCCTGAACATTGATAGAGTTAAATGTGATGGATTTTCACAGTGCATCTTATTAAGACTCTGAGGAGGCTAGAGGAGTTTGCCTTAGCTCTGTGTGCTCAAGTTTGTGTTCCTATTCATTGGCTACAGAATTGCATTGAATTTCACATGGCTGTTTTTCTTATTTGAGAGAGGTTACACGAAGTACCTTCCTATTGAAATCCTTACAAAGTAGTAGACCTTGAGATTTGTTTTGAACTATTGAACTGAATGCATTGATTCAAACGCATGTGCGAGCACACACACACATACAAACGCACTCACACACTGATTCAGTCACTCACTCACTCACTCAACATGCACCACGCCAGACGCATGCACACACACCATCTAACTCTGTCTGTTCATACAATATGGCGACTGAACAACAACATCAACAACAACAAAAAGTAACACACTCATCCATATCCTGTGTCCTGTTGGCAGTCATGCCCACCATAGAGAAGCTGCTGAGTGTGGACTGGAGGGAGAAGCTTCTGGACAAAAGCTCCCTGGGAGGCAACCACTTGAAAGGTGAGCTCTCACCCCTTTACCCCTGACCCTTTACCCCTGACCCCTCACCCCTTTACCCCTAACCCCTGACCCCTCATCTTTACCTCTCACCCCTGACTGGCCCATCAGTGCTCTGTCTTACTTGTCTCTCTCTGCCTGCCTGCCTGCCTGTCAGTCTCGGCCTGCCTGCCTGTCTCTGCCTACCTGTCAGTCTCTACCTGCCTGCCTGTCTCTGCCTGCATGTCAGTATCTGACTGCCTGTCAGTCTCTGCCTGCCTGTCAGTCTCTGCCTGTCAGTCTCTGCCTGCCTGTCTCTGCCTGCCTGTCAGTCTCTGCCTGCCTGCCTGTCTCTGCCTGCCTGCCTGTCTCAGCCTGCCTGCCTGTCTCTGCCTGCCTGTCAGTCTCTGCCTGCCTGCCTGCCTGTCAGTCTCTGCCTGCCTGTCAGTCTCTGCCTGCCTGTCAGTCTCTGCCTGCCTGTCAGTCTCTGCCTGCCTGTCTCTGCCTGCCTGTCAGTCTCTGCCTGCCTGCCTGTCTCAGCCTGCCTGCCTGTCTCTGCCTGCCTGTCAGTCTCTGCCTGCCTGCCTGCCTGTCAGTCTCTGCCTGCCTGTCAGTCTCTGCCTGCCTGCCTGTCTCTGCCTGCCTGTCAGTCTCTGCCTGCCTGCCTGTCTCTGCCTGCCTGTCAGTCTCTGCCTGCCTGCCTGCCTGTCTCTGCCTGCCTGTCAGTCTCTGCCTGCCTGCCTGCCTGCCTGTCTCTGCCTGCCTGTCAGTCTCTGCCTGCCTGCCTGTCTCTATATCTAATTGTCTCTATGTATAATCCTGTTTGTACTCATCTCTCTCTCTCTATCCACAGTTTTCATGCGTGTAAAGTCATGCTGTATAAAAAAAATAATGACAAGTGTGATGGAAACAGAAAGTGGCGGTACAATTTTATAAATGTCGACAGACAATTTGTTCGTTATGTTGTGTGGTCCTCCCACTGCGACTTGGAAAAGCATGCACAGTTTAGGCTACAGGATGGTGAAAGTGCACGTGATGAGCTTGATGCTCCTTTCCAATAAACTCTAGGGTGTTCATTTGTATGCTAGTGACACGATGATCAGTGCTTAGCTGTCAATTAACAAATACAAATGATATTGCTCTAATCCTGCGCTCTCGCTCTCTCAGGCACTCCAGAGTCTCTGGCAGAGAAGGAGCTGCAGTTGTTGTTGATGATCAATCAGCTGAGTGGTCTGAGGGAGCAGCTGCTGGGAGCCCACTCTGAGCAGAGGAACATGGCCGCCCTGCTTCTGGAGAAACAACAGCAGCAGATGGAGCTGGCCAGACAGCAGCAGGAACAGGTGACCCTGACCGCTGACCCCTAAAACACACACTGACCCCTAACCTGGGTTTACCTGGTCTTACCTGAGTGTACCTGGACTAGGCTATATGTTTTTAATGGGCATGTTCCTCTACCCAGGCGTTGCTGACACATGCCAGATCTTAAAACGCCTGGATAGGTATTTTGTAGCTAATCATATGTTATAGCAATCTGTCAGTCGATGACGTGGCACCCAACCATTGGTTGAGGCATGCAACGTCTGAGCAGGGGAACACAACCAATGTGTGTGGTTTATTTCAGATCGCCAAACAGCAGCAGCAGCTGATCCAGCAGCAGCACAAAATCAACCTGCTTCAGCAGCAGATCCAGGTGAGACCTTTTATAAATGATATGCTATTTTTATAACATAATTTTGAAGTAACTTTGGGGTAACTCTGTGTGTGACTGACCTTGTGCCCTCTGTCTGACCTGGTCTCAGCAGGTGAACATGCCCTACGTGATGATCCCAGCCTTCCACCCAAACACCCAGCAACTCTCTGTCACCTCCGACACCCAGATGACCATGCCTCTGCAACCAATCCCCTGCAAGCCAGGTGAGTCACACCCCGCCCCCAACCTCTCTTAGCAAATCCCCTTGACAGCCAGGTGAGTCACACCCCGCTCCAAACCTCATTTAGACAATCCCCTACAAACCAGGGGTGGTCTAATCTGGCCCGTGGGTGGTTTAAGTAAAACTATTATTTATATATATATACAGTACCTTCAGAAAGTATTCCCACCCCTTGACTTATTCCACATTTTGTTGTGTTACAGCCTGAATTTAAAATAAATTAAATTGAGATTTTTTGTCATTGGCCTATTTACAATATTCCATCATGTCAAAGTGGAATTATGTTTTTATTTTTTAAAAATAAATTAATAAAAATGAAAAGCTGAAATGTATTGAACCCCTTTGTTATGGCAAGCCTAAATAAGTTTAGGAGTAAACCTTTGCTTAACAACTCACATAAGTTCCATGGACTCACTCTGTGTGCAATAATAGTGTTTAACTTGATTTTTGAATGACTACCTCATCTACAGTTGAAGTCGGAAGTTTACATACACCTTAGCCAAATACATTTAAACTCAGTTTTTCACAATTCCTGACATTTAATCCTTTTAGAAATTCCTTGTTTTAGGTCAGTTAGGATCACCACTTTATTTTAAGAATATGAAATGTCAGAATAATAGTAGAGAGAATAATTTATTTAAGCTTTTATTTCTTTCATCACATTCCCAGTGGGAAGTTAGTCAGAAGTTTACATACACTCAATTAGTATTTGGTAGCATTGCCTTCAAATTGTTTAACTTGGGTCAAACGTTTCGGGTAGCCTTCCACAAGTTTCCCACGATAAGTTGGGTGAATTTTGGCCCATTCCGCCTGACAGAGCTGGTGTAACTGAGTCAGGTTTGTAGGCCTCCTTGCTCACACACGCTTTTTCAGTTCTGCCCACACATTTTCTATAGGATTGAGGTCATTGCTTTGTGATGACCACTCCAATACCTTGACTGTTGTCCTTAAGCCATTTTTCAACACAACTTTGGAAGAATGGTTGGGGTCATTGTCCATTTGGAAGACTCATTTGCGACTAAGCCTTAACTTCCTGACTGATGTCTTGAGTTGTTGCTTCAATATATCCACATAATTTTCCTTCCTCGTGATGCCATCTATTTTGTGAAGTGCACCAGTCCCTCCTGCAGCAAAGCACCCCCACAGCATGATGCTGCCACTCCCGTGCTTCACGGTTGGGATGGTTTTCTTCGTTTTGCAAGCCCTCCCCCCTTTTCCCTCCAAACATAACAATGGTCATTATGGCCAAACAGTTCTATTTTTGTTTCATCAGACCAGAGGACATTTCTCCAAAAAGTAAGATCTTTGTCCCCATGTGCAGTTGCAAACTGTAGTCTGGCTTTTTTATGGCGGTTTTGGAACAATGGCTTCTTCCTTGCTTCTTCTTCGATATAGGACTCGTTTTTACTGAGGATATAGATACTTTTGTACCTGGTTCCTCCAGCATCTTCACAAGGTCCTTTGCTGTTGTTCTGGGATTGATTTGCACTTTTCGCACCAAAGTACGTTAATCTCTAGGAAACAGAATGCGTCTCCTTCCTGAGCGGTATGACGGCCCCATGGTGTTTAAACCTGCGTACTATTGTTTGTACAGATGAACATGGTACCTTCAGGCGTTTGGAAATTGCTCCCAAGGATGAACCAGACTTGTGGAGGTCTACAATTATTTTTCTGAGGTCTTGGCTGATTTCTTTTGATTTTCCCATGATGTCAAGCAAAGAGGCACTGAGTTTGAAGGTAGGCCTTGAAATGCATCCACAGGTACACCTCCAATTGACTCAAATGATGTCAATTAGCCTATCAGAAGCTTCTAATGCCATGACATCATTTTCTGGAATCTTCCAAGCTGTTTAAAGGCACAGTCAACTTAGTGTATGCGCATTTCTGACCTCCTGGAATTGTGATACAGTGAAATAATCTGTCTGTAAACAATTGTTGGAAAAATTACTTGTGTTATGAACAAAGTAGATGTCCTAACCGACTTGCCAAAACTATAGTTTGTTAAAAAGAAATTTGTGGAGTGGTTGAAAAACGAGTTTTAATGACTCTAACCTAAGTGTATGTAAACTTCCGACTAGACACTGTATGTACCCCACACATACAATTATCTGTAAGGTCCCTCACTTGAGTAGTGGATTGAACCACAAAGACCAGGGAGGTTTTCCAATGCCTCATAAAAATAAAAAAAGCAGACATTGAATATCCCTTTGAGCATGGTGAAGTTATTAATTACACTTTAGATGGTGTATCAATACACCCAGTCACTACAAAGATACAGGCGTCCTTCTTAACTCATTTGCCAGAGAGGAAAGAAACTGCTCAGGGATTTCACCATGAGGCCAATGGTGACTAGAAAAACAGTTACAGAGTTTAATGGATGTGATAGGAGAAAACAACTGAGGATGGATCAACAACATTGTAGTTATTCCACAATACTAACCTAATTGACAGAGTGAAAAGAAGGAAGCATGTACAGAATAAAAAATATTCCAAAATATGCATCCTGTTTGCAACAAGGCACTAAGGTAATACTGCAAAAAAAATGTGGGGCAAATCCAACACAGCACATGACTGAATACCACTCTTCATATTTATTTTCATGGTGGTTTCTGCAATATGTTATGGATATGCTTGTCATCAGCAAGGACTGGGAGTTTTTCAGGATAAAAACATACAAAATGGAGCTAAGCAAAGGCAAAATCTTAATGGAAAACCTGGTACAGTCTGCTTTCCAACAGACACTGGGAGACAAATTCACCTTTCAGCAGGACAATAACCTAAAACACAAATCTACACTAGAGTTGATTAGTAAGACGACATTGAATGTTCCTAAATGGCCTAGTTACAGTTGTGACTTAAATCTGCTTGAAAATATTTGGCAAGACTTGAAAATGGCTGTCTAGCAATGATCAACAACCAACTTAACAGAGCTTGAAGATTTTTTAAAAAGAATAATGGGCAAATATTGCACAACCAAAAAAGACTCAAAGCTGTAAACGCTGCCAAAGGTTTTTCTGAAATGTAATTACTCGGGGTGAATACTTATCAAATTAAGATATATTCGTTTTAGATTTTTCATAAATCAAATAATTTTGTAAGAATGATTCTTCCACTTTGACAATTAAATACATGTTAATAGCACTTTGTAACACAACAAAATGTGTACAGTGCCTTGCAAAAGTATTCATCCCCCTTGGTGTTTTTCCTATTTTGTTGCATTACAACCTGTAATTTAAATGGATTTTTATTTGGATTTCATGTAAAGGACATACACAAAATAGTCAAAATTGGTGAAATGAAAAGAAAAAAATTACTTGTTTCATAAAATTCTACAAAATAAATAACGGAAAAGTGGTGCGTGCATATGTGTTCATCCCCTTTGCTATGAAGCCCCTAAATAAGATCTGGTGCAACCAATTACCTTCAGAAGTCACATAATTAGTTAGATTGCACTCAGGTGGAATTTATTTAAGTGTCACATGATCTGTCACATGATCTCAGTGTATATATACACCTGTTCTGAAAGGCTGCAACACCACTAAGCAAGGGGCACCACCAAGCAAGCGGCACCATGAAGACCAAGGAGCTCTCCAAACAGGTCAGGGACAAAGTTGTGGAGAAGTACAGATCAGGGTTGGGTTATAAAAAATATCAGAAACTTTGAACATCCCACGGAACACCATTAAATCCATTATTAAAAAATGGAACGAATATGGCACCACAACAAACCTGCCAAGAGAGGGCCGCCCACCAAAACTCACGGACCAGGCAAGGAGGGCATTAATCAGAGAGGCAACAAAGAGACCAAAGATAACCCTGAAGGAGCTGCAAAGCTCCACAGCAGAGATTGGAGTATCTGTCCATAGGACCACTTTAAGCCGTACACTCCAGCTGGGCTGGAGAAAAAAGCCATTGCTTAAAGAAATAAATAAGCAAACAGTTTGGTGGTCGCCAAAAGCCATGTGGGAGACTCCCCAAACATATGGAAGAAGGTACTCTGGTCAGATGAGACTAAAATTGAGCTTTTTGGCCATCAAGGAAAACGCTATGTCTGGCGCAAACCCAACACCTCTCATCACCCCGAGAACACCATCCCCACAGTGAAGCATAGGGGTGGCAGCATCATGCTGTGGAGATGGCAGGGACTGGGAAACTGGTCAGAATTGAAGGAATGATGGATGGCGCTAAATACAGGGAAATTCTTGAGGGAAACCTTTCAGTCTTCCAGAGATTTGAGACTGGGACGGAGGTTCACCTTCCAGCAGGACAATGACCCTAAGCATACTGCTAAAGCAACACTTGAGTGGTTTAAGGGGAAACATTTAAATGTCTTGGAATGGCCTAGTCAAAGCCCAGACCTCAATCCAATTGAGAATCTTTGGTATGACTTAAAGATTGCTATACACCAATGGAACCCATCCAACTTGAAGGAGCTGGAGCAGTTTTGCCTTGAAGAATGGGCAAAAATCCCAGTGGCTAGGTGTGCCAAGCTTAGAGACATACCCCAAGAGACTTTCAGCTGTAATTGCTGCAAAAGGTGTCTCTACAAAGTATTGACTTTGGGGGGGGGGGGTGAATAGTTATGCACGCTCAAGTTTTCTGTTTTTTTGTCTTATTTCTTGTTTGTGTCACAAGAAAAAATATTTTGCATCTTCAAAGTGGTAGGCATGTTGTGTAAATCAAATGATACAAACCCCCAAAAAATCCATTTTAATTCCAGGTAAGGCAACAAAATAGGAAAACTGTCAAGGGGGGGTGAATACTTTCGCAAGCCACTGTATATACATCTTTATTTTTGGGGAGGGGGGTGACGAACTCAATATGCTTTAAAATGACTAAAACCAATTTGAAACTGTGTAGAAATGATAATGGACCTACATTCATACAGTTTCATGACTGTGTACAGCTCGTTAATAATTACCAAAATGAAAGCTAGACAGTCAGGGAACATCAGAAATGATAGAGGACTATTTTTTGCTAATTTTAACGGCAAGGAAATATAACACATTTTCAGTGTGGCCCTCCGGACCTCGTTGAAGACCGAATGCGGTCCCCAGGGCAAAATGAGTTTGACACCCTTAGGGTAGACTGAAACAGATATGTATTCCACAGACCAAGTCCCCAATGCAATGCTTTCCAAAAAGGAGGGTTGGTTGGGGCCCATTGGTGGACTGTGACATGGCTTAGGTTACTCAGTGGTTTATCATAAACACTCAATCCTCTCATACACTGTGAAAACAAATAAGTAACGAGCTGACATCAAGTAATCGCTGTGGACTTTTAATGTATCGTAAATGTCAATCGGAACCCCCCCCCAAAAAAAAAACACATTTGTACATTTGTCTCCTCTGTTTTGTTTGTCCTGTTGCTATGAACTGTGTAAGTTGCTAGAGCAACGACCAGACGCCCCTTTCATATGGTATGGTGGTCAGTAACCTTCTCAGTCAAACCCCCTTTTCCCTGCTCATGCCCTTCAATGTGTTGTGCAGTCAACATGATGGTAGTACAGATAATGTTGTCTAAATGTTGTTTGGATGTTATTGATTTTGTTCCCTTCTGACAGTAATTGTGAAGCTTTCATCTCCCCCCGTTTTATTTAGCAGTGGACTATCCCATGCAGCTACTGCAGAACCTTCACTCCACCCCTATGAAAAGGCCCAGTGGTACCTTCCGACAGGTAGTGATTTCCATACAGATTATACTGGACATATACCTATACTATAGTATACCCTTATTATACTATACTGTACTATACTATACAGTGGGGAAAAAAAGTATTTAGTCAGCCACCAATTGTGCAAGTTCTCCCACTTAAAAAGATGAGAGAGGCCTGTAATTTTCATCATAGGTACACGTCAACTATGACAGACAAATTGAGAGTTCTTTTTCCAGAAAATCACATTGTAGGATTTCTTATGAATTTATTTGCAAATTATGGTGGAAAATAAGTATTTGGTCACCTACAAACAAGCAAGATTTCTGGCTCTCACAGACCTGTAACTTCTTCTTTAAGAGGCTCCTCTGTCCTCCACTCGTTACCTGTATTAATGGCACCTGTTTGAACTTGTTATCAGTATAAAAGACACCTGTCCACAACCTCAAACAGTCACACTCCAAACTCCACTATGGCCAAGACCAAAGAGCTGTCAAAGGACACCAGAAACAAAATTGTAGACCTGCACCAGGCTGGGAAGACTGAATCTGCAACAGGTAAGCAGCTTGGTTTGAAGAAATCAACTGTGGGAGCAATTATTAGGAAATGGAAGACATACAAGACCACTGATAATCTCCCTCGATCTGGGGCTCCACGCAAGATCTCACCCCGTGGGGTCAAAATGATCACAAGAACGGTGAGCAAAAATCCCAGAACCACACGGGGGGACCTAGTGAATGACCTGCAGAGAGCTGGGACCAAAGTAACAAAAACTACCATCAGTAACACACTACGCCGCCAGGGACTCAAATCCTGCAGTGCCAGACGTGTCCCCCTGCTTAAGCCAGTACATGTCCAGGCCCGTCTGAAGTTTGCTAGAGTGCGTTTGGATGATCCAGAAGAGGATTGGGAGAATGTCATATGGTCAGATGAAACCAAAATATAACTTTTTGGTAAAAACTCAACTTGTCGTGTTTGGAGGACAAAGAATGCTGAGTTGCATCCAAAGAACACCATACCTACTGTGAAGCATGGGGGTGGAAACATCATGCTTTGGGGCTGTTTTTCTGCAAAGGGTCCAGGACGACTGAACCGTGTAAAGGAAAGAATTAATGGGGCCATGTAACCTCCTTCCATCAGCAAGGGCTTTGAAGATGAAACGTGGCTGGGTCTTTCAGCATGACAATGATCCCAAACACACCGCCCGGGCAACGAAGGAGTGGCTTCGTAAGAAGCATTTCAAGGTCCTGGAGTGGCCTAGCCAGTCTCCAGATCTCAACCCCATAGAAAATATTTGGAGGGAGTTGAAAGTCCGTGTTGCCCAGCGACAGCCCCAAAACATCACTGCTCTAGAGGAGATCTGCATGGAGGAATGGGCCAAAATACCAGCAACAGTGTGTGAAAACCTTGTGAAGACTTACAGAAAACGTTTGACCTGTGTCATTGCCAACAAAGGGTATATAACAAAGTATTGAGAAACTTTTGTTATTGACCAAATACTTATTTTCCACCATAATTTGCAAATAAATTCATTAAAAATCCTACAATGTGATTTTCTGGAGAAAAAAAATCTTATTTTGTCTGTCATAGTTGACGTGTACCTATGATGAAAATTACAGGCCTCTCTCATCTTTTTAAGTGGGAGAACTTGCACAATTGGTGGCTGACTAAATACTTTTTTTCCCCACTGTATACTGGTCCTTTGTAGCTCAGTTGGTAGAGCATGGCTCTTGTAACGCCAGGGTAGTGGGTTTGATTCCCGGGACCACCCATACGTAAAATGAAGACACGCATGACTGTAAGACGCTTTGTATAAAAGCGTCTGCTAAATGGCATATATTATTTTATCACTATACACTATACTGTACACTATACACTACACTATACTGTATACTATACTGTATACTATACACCATACTGTAAACTATACACTGGTACGGGTCCCCCTTCACCCTCTGGTGGTATGGAGAAAATGCCGCCGAAGAAGATGGCAGCCGTTTTACAGCCCTCTAACCAATTGTACTATTATGTAAGTTTTTTCGCATTATTTGTCATTTATTATGTACATAATGTTTCTGCCACCGTCTCTTATGACCAAAAAGAGCTTCTGGATATCAGGACAGCGATTACTCACCTCGTATTGGACAAAGAGTTTTTCTTCAACGAATCGGACGCGAAGGTTATCCTACAGACACCCAACAAGGCCCAAATCCCTGTCATTCGCATGAGAAAGTGACGGCGATATCGTGGACGTAGGTCGGGGTGCCTTGTAAGGATCCGACGGCGAGCGAGTAAACTGCCTCTTCTATCAATCCTATTAGCCAATGTTTAATCATTGGAAAATAAATTAGACGACCTAAGATTACGGTTATCCTACCAACGGGACATTAAAAACTGTAATATCTTATGTTTCACCGAGTCGTGGCTGAACGACGACATGGAGAAGATACAGCTGGCGGGATATACGCTACATCGGCAGGATAGAACGGCTGACTCCGGTAAGACAAGGGGTGGCGGTCTGTGTATATTTGTGAACAACAGCTGGTGCATAAAATCTAATACTAAGTAAGTCTCAAGGTTTTACTCGTCTGAGGTAGAGTATCTCATGGTAAGCTGTATACCACACTATTTACCAAGAGAGTTTTCATCTATATTTTTCGTAGCTGTCTATTTACCACCACAAACCGATGCAGGCGCTAAGATTGCACTCAATGAGCTGTATAAGGACATAAGTAAACAGGAAAACGCTCATCCAGAGGCAGCGCTCCTAGTGGCCGGGGACTTTAATGCTGGGAAACTTAAATCCGTTCTACCTAATTTCTACCAGCATGTTAAATGTGCAACCACAGGGAAAAAAACTCTAGACCACCTTTACTCTACACACAGAGACACGTACAAAGCTCTCCCTTGCCCTCCATTTGGCAAATCTGACCATAACTCTATCCTCCTGATTCCTGCTTATAAGCAAAAACTAAAGCAGGAAGCACCAGTGACTCGGTTAATAAGGAAGTGGTCAGATGACGCAGATGCTAAGCTACTGGACTGTTTTGCTAGCACAAACTGGAATATGTTCCGGGATTCTTCCGATAGCATTGAGGAGTACACCACATCAGTCACTGGCTTCATCAATAAGTGCATCGATGACGTCGTCCCCACAGTGACCGTACGTACATACCCCAACCAGAAGCCATGGATTACAGGCAACATCCGCACTGAGCTAAAGGGTAGAGCTGCCACCTTCAAGGAGCGGGACTCTAACCCGGAAGCTTATAAGAAATCCCGCTATGCCCTCCGACGAGCCATCAAACAGGCAAAGAGTCAATACAGGACTAAGATTAAATCGTACTACACTGGCTCTGACGCTCGTCGGATGTGGCAGGGCTTGCAAACTATTACAGACTACAAAGGGAAGCACAGCCGCGAGCTGCCCAGTGACACAAGCCTACCAGACGAGCTAAATCACTTCTATGCTCGCTTCGAGGCAAGCAACACTGAAGCATGCATGAGAGCATCAGCTGTTCCAGATGACTATGTGATCAAGCTCTCTGGAGCTGATGTGAGTAAGACTTTTAAGCAGGTCAACATTCACAAGGCCACAGGGCCAGACGGATTACCAGGACGTGTACTCCGAGCATGCGCTGACCAACTGGCAAGTGTCTTCACTGACATTTTCAACATGTCCCTGACTGAGTCTGTAATACCAACATGTTTCAAGCAGACCATAGTCCCTGTGCCCAAGAACACTAAGATAACCTGCCTAAATGACTACCGACCCGTAGCACTCATGTCTGTAGCCATGAAGTGCTTTGAAAGGCTGGTCATGGCTCACATCAACACCATTATCCCATTACCCCCAGACCCACTCCAATTTGCATACCGCCCCAACAGATCCACAGATGATGCAATCTCTATTGCACTCCACACTGCCCTTTCCCACCTGGACAAGAGGAACACCTACGTGAGAATGCTATTCATTGACTACAGCTCAGCGTTCAACACCATAGAGCCCTCAAAGCTCATCATTAAGCTAAGGACCCTGGGACTAAACACCTCCCTCTGCAACTGTATCCTGGACTTCCTGACGGGCCGCCCCCAGGTGGTAAGGGTAGGTAATAACACATCTGCCACGCTGATCCTCAACACGGGGGCCCCTGAGGGGTGCGTGCTCAGTCACCTCCTGTACTCCCTGTTCACCCATGACTGCATGGCCAGGCACGACTCTAACACCATCATTATGTTTGCCGACGACACAACAGTGGTAGGCCTGATCACCGACAATGATGAGACAGCCTATAGGGAGGAGGTCAGAGACCTGGCCGTGTGGTGCCAGGATAACAACCTCTCCCTCAACGTGCTCAAGACAAAGGAGATGATTGTGGACTAAGCACGCCCCCATTCTCATCGACGGGGCTGTAGTAGAACAGGTTGAGAGCTTCAAGTTCCTTGGTGTCCACATCACCAACAAACTATCATGGTCCAAACACACCAAGACAGTCGTGAAGAGGACACGACAAAGCCTATTCCCCCTCAGGAGACTGAAAATATTTGGCATGGGTCCTCAGATCCTCAAAAAGTTCTACAGCTGCACCATCGAGAGCATCCTGACTGGTTGCATCACCGCCTGGTATGGCAACTGCTCGGCCTCCGACCGCAAGGCACTACAGAGGGTAGTGCGTACGGCCCAGTACATCACTGGGGCCAAGCTTCCTGCCATCCTGGACCTCTATACCAGGCGGTATCAGAGGAAGGCCTTAAAAATGATCAAAGACTCACCGGTGCCCCCGCACATTGACTCTGTACCGGTACCCCCTGTATATAACCTCCCTACTGTTATTTTATTTATTTTATTTTTTTCTTAACTGCATTGTTGGTTATGGGCTTGTAAGTAAGCATTTCACTGTAATGTCTACACCTGTTGTATTCGGTGCATGATTTATACACACACTATACTGTATACTATAATGTACTCTATACTATACTGTACACTATACACTACACTATACACCATACTATACACTACACTATACTACAATCTGGGTGGTTCGAGCCGTGAATGCTGATTGGCTGACAGCCATGGTATATCAGACCGTATACCACGGGTATGACAAAACATTTATTTTTACTGCTCTAATTACGTTGGTGTCCTAAATATTTCAAAAACTAAAAGCATTGTATTTGGGACAAATCGTTCAGTAAACCCTAAACCTCAACTAAATCTTGTAATGAATAATGTGGAAATTGAGCAAGTTGAGGAGACTAAACTGCTAGGAGTAACCCTGGATTGTAAACTGTCATGGTCAAAACATATTGATACAACAGTAGCTAGGATGGGGAGAAGTCTGTCCATAATAAAGGGCTGCTCTGCATTCTTAACAGCACTATCAACAAGGCAGGTCCTACAGGCCCTAGATCACAATCGTGTGATCAGGTGACACAAAGAGGGACTTAGGAAAATTGCAATTGGCTCAGAACAGGGCAGCACGGCTGGCCCTTGGATGTACACAGAGAGCTAACATTAATAATATGCATGTCAATCTCTCCTGGCTCAAAGTGGAGGAGAGATTGACTTCATCACTACTTGTATTTGTGAGAGGTATTGACATGATGAATGCACCTAGCTGTCTGTTTGAACTACTTGCACACAGCTTGGACACCCATGTATACCTCACAAGACATGCCACCAGAGGTTTCTTCACAGTCCCCAAGTCCAGAACAGACTATGGGAGGTGCACAGTACTACATAGAGCCATGACTACATGGAACTCTAGTCCACATCAAGTAACTCATGCCAGCAGTCAAATTAGATTTAAAAAAACCCTGATAAAAATACACCTTATGGAACAGCGGGGACTGTGAAGCAACACAAACATAGACACATGCATACAAACACACGATAATATGATTTACGCTTAAGAAGCTAGCTCTGTTAAGACAGTTACAGGCTAGGAGATCTCTTTGAAAACACTGTCAAAACAATGCACTCCAAATTAACAATGGATGTTTCTGGTATACCACACCCCATTCACAATTGTGTGCACAATGCATGCTCTGTCTGCACTGTTGGTTCTCAAGTGGAAAAGGGCATCACATAAATCACTAAACAGAAGAAAGAGAGGACAGAGAGAAAGAACAGACAAAATAAAGATTAGATTAAAGAAATCCTACAGAGGTGTGAGATGCCAAATCTGTCATGCATAACCCGAACACATACACACCCACCTCATACCTGGGTGTATGTGTTTGTTGTATTGACATGGATGAGAACTGTACGTTGAGTGTGTGTGTGTGTGTGTTATATTTACACAGTGTATAAATATAAGCAGTGTATTTTAAGCAGTATGCAGTGTATTGTGTTTGTGTGTTTCTGTGTTGTGCTGACACACCCCTGATGGTCTAGTCTTTTGTCTCTCATCCCCTTAGGAAGCCAGCCAGCCTCTGAACCTAACCTCCAAGCCCAAGGGGATGGACATGGGGAAGAGCCCCAGCCCGCATGCCTTTGAGCTGGGCACATTGACACTGCAGGGGGGGTACAGACCCAGGGACAACCATAGAGACAGCCCCTCACGACCCTCACTTAACCTGGGTCAGTCTGCACACACGCACATAAATGCTACACACACATAACACCTACATACCTCCTTCCATTCATTACATTCCTTACCTTCAGGCATGTTGAAACTCTGTGTGTGTGTGTGTGTGTGTGTGTGTGTGTGTGTGTGTGTATGTGTGAGCCTGTTCCCCCTTTGACTTTAGGACTTAGACTCGCTGATAGAGCATATCACCCCCCTCCTGTCTCTCCCTCTGACGCAATAAGAGTACTCTGTTATCTTGACTCTCTTTTATATTAACATTTGCAACGCTTTGTTGGTGCCCTGCCCATCTGAGCGTCTTCTCTCTCTCCTCCTTCTCTCTCTCTGCAGGATTTCTGGGAGAGGGGGATGTGGTGACCCAGGCCATCCATGATGCCCAGCAGCTGCTGCGGAGACATGGGCCGGGCGGAAGAGAGCGCGAGCGAGAGAGAGACAGCACTGCCAGAATGGTAAGCCATTGTCCAAAGACACGCATACACTCTCAGACCCCTGTCCTTGTCGGTCTCTCTTTATGGAGGAGTGTGTAACCTCCTCTAAACACCCATCACACACAAACACAGACAGACTGGCAGGCTGAGGGTTGTGGCTGGGTTCAGGGCCAGGGTACAGCCACTCGTCTCACAGTGGCTGTTATAGACTGGAGAATGTCTCAGCTACACACACACACACACACACACACACACACACACACACACACACACACACACACACACACACACACACACACCCTGAGAATGTCTCAGCCATGTCCTCCAGCAGGAACAACAGCTGCTGTAAACTCACAACAGTGCTCTTAGAACACCATGGTGATGACTCACCTTTCTCCTTTGTCAACTGTAATACACCGCTCCCCTCCTCTCCCCCTTCTCTCTGCCTTCTCTCTTTCCTCCACCCCTCTTCCTCCTCTCCTTTCCAGAGACATAGAAACAGAGTTCGGCCAAGTGTGGTTTAAATGTAGACTTTTCATGGACCATTCTTCAGCAGTGACAATGTCATTGTTGTGGAGCATATGGTGCCATCATAGGGGAGAGTCCTTGTCACCCTCATTTCTTTCACCCCTCATCTCCTCCCCTTTTCAGGGCCATGAACACAATTCTCTCCTCCTCATCACTCTATTATTTCCTGCCTTTGCATTTACAGACCTGCCTTTTAAAGGTCCCTAACAGTCATTCTGATTCCCATGTAAAATAGCCTTTTGGAGCGACTAAAATACCACCCATAATATTTTATTTGGATAGAAATGTTTTTGTTTGTTGAGAAAGTAATTTGTATTTCATGGCTAACTACCAGGAAGTTTGAAAAGACAGGCTGAGTGTGCTGGGAACACATATTCATGAGCTCGCCTTGACTGACAGTTCTTTGAAACGCCTATGTCAAGCAACTTGGATGCAGTGATGCAGTAAAATCATCTCAAGCATATTTGGTGATACACAAAGCAACTCAAACAACATTGAAATTGCATCAAAAAAATGTTTTAATCTCCCGTGTGATACGGTTCACGGCAGCACTGACGGATGTGTTGATATGACAACTGCGTCAGAGTTTTGAACGACCCTTCCCCCCCTTTTGTTCCATGCTGGCTGAAGACCTAGCTAGCCAGTAACTAGCTAACACCAGACACATATGAAAGGGGAAACATATAAGGATCTTTGCTATAGATGAATAGTGTAAACTTTTAATTATATTTACTGACACCATACAGTCAAATTTTGGCACCAATAGAGTAGCTATTTAGCTATATAAACCACGCACCTCTGCAAACACGTCTTCTCTGATGTTGGTTACAATGCAGTACTTGTTTAAATTAGGAAAGAGAATATCATATTACCAATGGTGTATTAAAATGAGAGTTGGGGTGATGTCACCCTATCCCCTTACTAATCCCGCCTCCTAAAGTCAAGTGTTTGACATGGGGGACCAGTAACGTTATGATCAAACTTTATCAATGTAGAAGCAACAGTCATTTTTCATACTTTTGTCATCATACTTTGATCTGGTGTCATCCAAATATCATCAAATTTCATGTAAAACATGATTTTGACTGTTCATGACCTTTAAACACCAGCTGCTATGTGAGGCATCTCCCTGCTCGGCCATAAATAGTGCTGTTAAGCACACACACACACACACTCACTCACTCACTCACTGACCCAGGTTTGTGAGACAAAAGCAATGTCGCAAAAAAATTATTGCGACATGTGTAATGGAAACGGCAGATATAGGATAATTTTTTCAAAGATAGACAAGATTTTTATTCATTCAACAGGGGTGGATTTTTATTTTCTCTAACTTTCTTTATTGCGACAAATGATGATGGAAACTGTATTTTTATAATAAATAATGATTGCCGAATGATTTTGAAGGTAGCTTACCGCCTTGTAACCAACATCGAAGAAGGTGTGTTTGCAGAGGGACGTGGTTTATATAGTACGTGATCAAAATCTATTTTTTCAACTATAAAAAGTGTGTTTAAGATTCTTCAAGCTCTGTCAAGTTGGTTGTTGATAATTGCTATACAGCCTTTTTTAAGTCTTGCCACAGATTTTTTAAGTCAAAACTGTAACTTGACCACTCGAGAACATTCAATGTCGTCTTGGTAAGCAACTCCAGTGTATATTTGGCCATGTTTTTTAGGTTATTGTCCTGCTGAAATGTGAATTTGTCTCCCAGTGTCTGTTGGAAAGCAGACTGAACCAGGTTTAGCTCTATTCCGTTTGACAAGCATACCCATAATATGATGCAGCCACCACCATGCTTGAAAATATGAAGTGGTACTCAGCGATGTGTTGTGTTGGATTTGCCCCAAACATAACGCTTTGTATTCAGGACATAAAGTTAATTTCTTTGCCACATTTTTGGCAGTTTTACTTTAGTGCCTTATTGCAAACAGGATGCATGTTTTGGAATATTTATATTCTGTACAGGCTTCCTTCTTTTCACTCTGTCATTTAGGTTAGTATTGTGGAGTAACCACAATGTTGTTGATCCATTCTCAGTTTTCTCCTATCACAGCCATTAAACTCTGTAACTGTTTTAAAGTCACCATTGGCCTCATGGTGAAATCCCAGACCGGTTTCATTCCTCTCTGTCAACTGAGTTAGGAAGGACACCTGTATCTTTGTAGTGACTGGGTGTATTGATACACCATCCAAAGTGTAATTAATAACTTCACCATGCTCAAAGGGATATTCAATGTCTGTTTTTTTGTTTTTTTACCCATCTAATAGGTACCCTTCTTTGCGAAGTATTGGAAAACCTCCCTGGTCTTATCTGTTTTGAAATTCACTGCTCGACTGAGTCACAGTTAATAGTATGTGTGGGGTACAGTGATGAGGTAGTCATTTAAAAATAATGTTAAACACTATTATTGCACACAGTGAGTCCATGCAACTTATTATGTGAGGAAGGATGCACAACTGAATGCATTCAACCGTAATTTTACATTTTACATTTTAGTCATTTAGCAGACGCTCTTATCCAGAGCGACTTACAGTTAGTGAGTGCATTTTCATACTAGCCCCCCGTGGGAAACGAACCCACAACCCTGGCGTTGCTCTACCAACTGAGCTACAGGGTGTCTTCCACATTTAACCCAACCCCTCTGAATGAGAGAGGTGCGGGGGAGCTGCCTTAATCAACACCTGGCGAGCAGTTGTTGTTGGGGGATAACCGCCTTGCTCAAGGGGAGAAAGGCAGGTTTTTCCCACCTTGCCGCTTCAGGGATTCAAACTAGCGACCTTTCGGTTACTGGCCCAATGCTCTTAACCGCTAGGCTACCTGCCGCCCTGGGTGACTTGTTAAGCACATTTTTACTAGTGAACTTATTTAGGCTTGCCATAGCAAAGGGGTTGAATACTTATTGACATAAGACATTTCAGCTTTTTTAATGATAGTAAAAATGTCAAAAAACATAATTCTACTTTGACATTATGAGATATTGTGTGTATGCCAGTGACACAAAATCTCATTTTAAATTCAGGCTGTAACACAACAAAATGAAAAAAGTCAAGGGGGTGAATACTTTCTGAAGGCACTGTAGGTGAGGGCATACAGGCTTTTTATTAATGCGCAATTTGCCTAAAAGGGTAATGGAAACACTTCAACCATTTCATTTTTATTTGACACTGTATGTTGTTGTTTTTTGGTGTGACGTCATTATGTCCAGCTTTTTTTTATTGAAACAAGATAGTTAAATGGAAACGCACCATAGCAGGCAATATTGTCACATTTATTTTCTATGCGCACTTTCTAAATGTCGACAAAAAGTCACTGGACAAGTTAATGGAAACATAGCTACTCACGCACGCACACACATACACACAGATAATGTTAAATGCTCTCTTCAGGCCTGTTTAACTGCAGCAACATTCAAATCCCATCCTTCTTCTGTTTACCTAAGTGTTAAGGTGTAGGCCTGTGTGTGTCAGATGGGTGTGTGTAACTCTCTCTGTCTCTGTGTAGGAGTATAAGGTGGCTGGACACAGCAACAGGCTGCCACACCCAGACCGTGGGGAGGATGGACAGACCCTCCAAACCAACGAGGACCACCACAGCAGCGACTCTGAGGGTAGGCCGATTTCATCTTTAAATTATTTTCTCCTGTCTTTGTTAGTTATTATTTTGTGTGTGAAGCACTTCGTTAACTTGTATTGAAAGCACTATACAAATAAAGTTATTATTATTAGGCCCCCCAACACTACCTGATCAAAAATAACACATGGTTTAGATGGTAGTGGGCAAGCATCACAGTAGTCTAGAGAGGTTTAATTTCCTCGTCTCCTCCTTTACACTGATCTGAAAACACAAAACCCAGAGCAGGTGAATACAACATGGATGATGCTTGTCCGGTATTTGTTTTCACCTTTCCTATTGTTTTACCAGTGAAGTTGAGGGAAAGTAGATGTTTTGTTGGCCACTGACTGGCTGTCCCACCATCCTCTTCCCCTCCTGCAGGCCCCCTATCTGCTCCTAGTGTGGGGGTGTTCGCGGAGGTTCGCGGCCCCCCCTCCTCCGTCCACATCAAGAGGCCCATGAACGCCTTCATGGTCTGGGCCAAAGACGAGAGGCGACGTATACTACAGGCCTTCCCTGACATGCACAACTCCTCCATCAGCAAGATACTGGGTGAGTCCACACACACACATGCACACACACAGGGGGACATAAAGCATGCACAAATTGCTCCTTTGGGATTAATGACACGTCAATCAATGTGCACTGTAAGTGTTTCTGTGTCACCTGCTGTAGTCCTGGCACAGTAGGGCATGCGAGGCCACGATCTGCCACCTGCTTCCCCTGGAGACAGGAACCTCCTACCACTCCCCCCCCCCCCCCCCGTCCGTCCGTCCGTCCACACACACACACTGCCCCGCACCCCTTTCCTCTGACCAAACACTCACATTCCATTCCATTCCATTGTGGAGCGCTGGAGACACTCAAGCTATTGCTCCCTCCCTCCTCATCTAACATAGCCAACCCCTTTCTCTGTAGGTCACTGGAAGTCTATGTCCAACTAGGAGAAGCAGATGTACTCTTTCACACACAAAGTCCTCTGTTCTTTAGTCTGACATTGTCTCCCTCCCTCCAGGAACTAGATGGAAGTCTATGTCTAACCAGGAGAAGCAGCCCTACTATGAGGAGCAGGCCAGGCTGAGCCGACAGCACCTGGAGCGTTACCCCGACTACAAGTACAAGCCCCGCCCCAAACGCACCTGCATCGTGGAGGGACGGAGACTCAGGGTGGGCGAGTACAAAGCCATGATGAAGAACCGGAGACAGGAGCAGAGGGGGCCATACCCACACAGGTAACACACTGATGTTCTGTTAGTGTGGCCCTGACCGTGAAGAGAACCAGAGTTGCTATTATCCAGAGAGCTCTTAGTGAAATTAAACAATAAACTCTCTTCCCTTCCCACATGCTTTTTCTGTAAGAACACAAACAAACCCACTGTGGTTAAATAGAAGTGCAGGGCTACAGCTGGTTATGTTAGTCTCTCATAGTGAATAAAACTCTACTCTATTGTTCTATATGACTGTAAAATTGTACTTGAGTAGCAGCAGCTTTTAGTGGTTTGTTAACAGTCCTCTTCTCTGGGTATGGACTTGTCCTGAGACATGGTGGTAGACTCCTACATACAGCCATGTCTCAGGGCAAACACCTATCCAGTCTTTTCAGATTTAGACAATGATTTGGGCGTACGTTACACCACCAATGTCCCATCTCTTCCTGTCTTTCAGCCAATCAGAGCCGCAGCAGCTGCACTACGCCCCCGGCGAGGGCCAATACCCAGGTGGCGGTGGGGCAGTCTCCATGCCAACGGTGCCATTCCACCCCGCGCTATTGGAGCACTACCTGCCGCGAGGGCTGGAGGCTCCGCCTATTTGCAGACCTGAGGGACAGGCCACGCCCACTCCTCTCCCCAGAGAGAGGGAGAAAGAGAGACCGCCGTACAGTGAGGGGGAGGAGAGCGACAGAGGAGAGAGAAGTGAGGGAGAGCTAGTGCTCCTCACTGACTGAGAGAGAGAGCGAGAGGTGTGTGTGTAGAGAAGTGAATGAAAAGGGGTGTGTCTGTGTGGAGAAGGGGATCTTGGACCATATCAAGTGTGTCATATGACCATGTCAGCAGAGCCTGCGTCTGTCCCAACACTCTTAAGATGAATCCCATTCTTTATCTAATCACTGATCTGGTCACAGAAGACTGGGGTCTAAACTAATAGTCCTCACTTTTAGATCAGTGAGTGTCAAGAGATGGTAAATAGACTATAGTAAAAGCCCCACCCTTGTAAAATAATACAATCGGACATGGATCAAACACGCACAGAGAGACACACACCAGCCCCATCTGTGTATGTTTATTTCTCCAAATGGATGTTGTCATCCCAGACGTTAGTTGTTGGTAATCTGCTGTAGGCCCACCAGTATCTGTTATTCAGCCCTACATGTCAAACCTTTCCCATTCTCCCCCATAGTTCACAATCAAACAATGAAATCCCCAATAGGGCAAGCCTAGGGCTAGACTAGCAGGGGAATCTCCTTGAGGAGGAGCCCATCCTTCTCTGACTGGCTGGACAGGTTACGGTTACTATGAGACAGTTGTTTGTTACAACATTAAAGGTATGTGTCATTTACACATGAATCTGGCAGCTGAATCTAAAAGACCATTGGTCATAGATTATATCAGATATTGGGCTATTCATGTTGCTGCTACGTACCCTATCAACAGGGTAGGAGTGTAGCTAGTGATAACCGTCACATTCACAATGTGTAGCGGACATTTACAATGTGGAATGAGTTGAGATTGACTGGATTAGACTGGCAGTCCATTGTCACCTACAGGCATTGACATAGATGTTTCCCTTAAGCACAGATCAATATCAGATGACCCTATCCTTATAAACCTGAAACATCAAGGCCAGGGTATGAAAAATATCTGACAGTGTTATGGAGATCTGATTGTGATTCTGAAGGAGTGCTGCCCTCTGCTGTTTGGGATGGGCACAACATCATGAAATATCCCACATTACTATCACTAGAAATGAATAGAAATACCAATGTTTTATTTAATTTTTTATTTTCAATTATTACACATGACCTGGTCTTTGGTGATAGAGGTTGAATAATCCCATTATTAGCCAATGCACTGGTCAAGCATAGGTGCACTCTGTCAGAGTACACTCTGTCAGAATGCACTTGCACTCAACCCTCATCTCCTTTCCAAAACAGACCCATAGGCTGCACCTAAATAGTCTAAAGTGGCTTTCTCGCCTCAAATCCTCTCCTTCATATGCACTGACAACAAAACATAGGATAAGTAAAAGCAATAGGGGAGATTCCTCCTGCGAGAGGTTTTCACTTGTCAAGTTATTTTACATCAGTTGAAGTGGAGTAGGGGAGACGAGGAATTACCTTTACATTATCGAGATGCACCCAATGTTTCACAGTTATTGAGATACAAATAGTCTATCAGCAGTTACATCTAGTGTAATGAGGATAACTGTTTAAGGAACCCCCTCCAAGCCCTTATTCTAGATTCATCTATTCCTTCTCTATTCTCTGTACAAGCTGTATGTAAGTGTGTGTGTATCTTTCAATCAATTTATTTTGGACCCGGGTTTACAATGTACTCGTCACAAAATGTTTTACAAATGTGTTTATTAGTGTATGCGTGTGGGTATTGAACTCAAAGGTTGGCCTGAACACCTTGTGTCTACCCTGACATCCTGGCCTCTTGTCTTGACCACAGCTGTTTCTCTGTCCATGTACTGCAGTCAGAAGTCACTGTAGGGCCATTTGGCTTCACAAACAGGGATCCATCTCAATAGTCCTACGTCGCATCCTCTCCTTTCCTTAATCAGATCAGTGAAGATGTAGGAAGCCACTTTAGACTATTGGGATGCAGCCTTCATCACAATGTACTGTACAGAAGAGAGGGGTTAGACGTTAGATTTCTGGTATAATCTCCATGTTAACAGAGAGGCAAGCCTGTGGTTAGTTGCCGTCACACTGCAGTAAAACCTTTGGTCTTGATTGGGGAGTACTGTAGTATGAAGTTGCACTTGGACACTGATCTATGGTCAGTTTTACATTTACACCGGTAAATGTTAAGGCTAGGATGTGGATAGGGTAGACTGATCCTAGGTCTGTGGCTACTGACAACTTCTACCCAGAACCAAGGGGATGGCACTGTTAGGAGAGGCTGGGACTGTGTACATAGACAAATATCAGAGGAACCTTTTTATCTAATTACAGAAAAACCCAGAGAAAGAGTTGTCACACCTGCTGATGTAAATATAGATGGACTTTATTTTGTTTATAAGAGCCTGTGTAATTTAAAGGTGTACATTTTCCAAGTTGTGGTTTGTTTTTAGAAAATAATAAATTGGTTATATTTGTGCCCAAGTTATTTTTCTGTGTGTGTACACCTTTGCTTACTCAGATGAAATCACCTGTGCTGTTTCCCACAGGAGTGCATTCCAGTAATGAGTTTGTACCACGGACTCCCAAAGGAAGTTACCACAGTGACTTTCCAACCCAGTCGTTATGGTAACCACCCAGTCATCATGGGACGCCTCATTCAGCCATTTAGGATTTCAAACTATCAGCCGGCTATAGTAAAACTAGAAGGCAACTTCTAGTTATGCTAGATCAGTCATAATGCCAAATTACTTGACCAACTGTATAGACATTAGCTATAAAGGACACTCTCTGTAGTCTTGAGGGCAGTGAGGCCACTTTACTAGAGGATGTTGGAACATGAGTCAGTGTTTGTATGCTCATCAGTAGTGTGTGAGGATGCTGCAGCGTTGTTTTTAGTAGAGGATATCCTCCGTAGTGGAGCCCCCCTGGCTGTCTTACTTCCTTCCCCATCTCAGGGCAAGAGAGCCAGGTCAGCTGCCAGAGACCAGAGGCAGAGAGCCTGGTCACAGGAAACTAGAGTGGTGAAGTCAAAGCTTATTACCCCCCACCAAGGTTAAACCATCACCAGCAGTGTAACAGAGAGTGGCTATTGTTCAAAAATACTATTAGAAAAGTCTGTTAGGTATAGAAACTGAATAGCTGCCATACAAGTGTTCTTTCCATAACACGCATACACAACTGATTTTTCTTCAGACATTGTTTTTTTTAATGGAAATATTTACTGACATGTTAAATTACTCTCACAGAAGTGTGGAGGATCACTGTACAGTCAGATTTTCACAGTATTTCTTACAGTATTTACAATCTGTCTCCTCTCTGCTGGCCTTTAATGCTACAGCGTCCTCTTCAGGAGTGGCTGACTCCATACACACACATCTTGAAATGTTGGGCCCTCTTTTACAGATTCTAATGAACAGTTAGAATCAGTCAAAAGCATGTTTGGAAAAGTCCATATGGAGATAGAAAGTAAAATAAAGTTATCTGTTCAGTGGGTTTTCAAGTTAAGTCAGTTTAGTACATTCACACACAAGTTAATTTAAATTGAACTGCAAGCCTTATAACACTAACCATTTTGGTATGTACTGTATATAGAAACAAAAACAGGAAAAACATGAAAGAAATGCAATTACCGGTTCACCCAATAAATACCTCCTTTAAACATCTGTAGTCTAAAAACACCATCAGGATGTAAGCCTTCCATAGCCTCCACATATCCTATTCTGGAATAACAAGAATAATAAAATCATGTCCCACATTAGTGCACACCTCGGTTCCTTCATATGTATTATTGGCTTTTTAAAGTTGGGGACCTTAACTTACTTTATTGAATGACAATGCAAGTGTGCAACGCCTTCTTGGACACCCTCAATAATAATAATAACGGAAATCAAAGCTCTTAACTCTTTCAATGCTCTTCCGGTGAAGGCATATGATGTAGCGAATGGTACTACTCCTTTACTCTACTGCAATATAGCTACTCCTACAGTAGTAGACCTAGAGTAGGCTCCGATTCTTCAACTCGCTCCCCTCCATGTGCCCTCGTTGGCTTGCCCTCAAAGATCTGAGAGGATTGGATAGGTGTCAGAAAGATGGTGGAAACTCCCTCCAACCTATCAAAATGGTAGTATGAGCCATACGCATCATCATTTACACTTATCCAAAGCTTTAAAATCTGCATGGGGGAGTTAACAAGGGCATAGGCAGAATGGGAGGCAAGTCTGAGAATAGAAAAGCAGGCTTAACCTTCTGTAGTACACACATCACTTCAATAAGCTGGTGCGTTTCCATGAAACCCAGGGTCATTTTTGGTTGTGCGTTCAGGAAGCAGACTCATTTATAATACCACTATCAGGCCATGCTATAAAAGGATAGAAGTAGGCTATGTCGCTTTCTAATCACAAACATAATTTTAACCATTAACCCCAATTTATTCCTACCTGCTGCAACATTTACCCAAACCCTAGAACAAGAAACTGATGTTCTAGATCAGTTAACTTCTGTCTGTTCTAGTTTGGCCATCTAGTGACTTCTGAATAGTTGAGTTGAATGGAACCACACAGACCTCCAGGAGTGCTTTGGTGCATAGAACATAATCTTAACCTCCATTGTTACGATTCAACCACCTTATCTTCCTCATACTCTTATGGTCAGTCTCAATCATCTAAAGTGGCTTCCCCTACTCTTCTCTCCTTAAATCACCATGCATCTGTAGACACAGGATGAAAGCAATATGGTGGGTTCATTTATTTCCATCCATCCAGTTGTTTCACATCAGTGCAGATGAAGGAAAGGAGACTAGGAAAGGAATCCATTTTAACTGTTGATATGCACCCTAAAAGGAGAATACAGTTTTAGTTTCAATTGAAATGTTATGGTCCATTCAAAAGGAAACACGTTCACATATGTACATTTACGATAAACAGGAATTAATTGCGCTCTTTCAATAAGCACTTGTCACCTCTCAGTTCAACCCAAGGCCTACTGGCAAATATCACATAAAGCAGGTGGGGAGTTGTGACTAATCTAAAGCCTTTCAAGGTAATGTCTCTGTCCATAACGGTCTTAAAACCTTGTTACAAGAGGCCCTAGACCATCCATTTAAGAAACACTACAATAGAGGTTCTTCTCACAACCAACTCCACTCACTCATAAAAACCCTAAAACGCTGACTCAGAGGGGTAAGAGGTTTGGAATGTTGCAGATAAAAGTACTGTATAGAATGGACCCAATCCTACATCATATGTACAAGTCATTTCTATTCCATTTGTTGCATTTCTATCTGCTGCTATGTTGTGGATGTTCTGCTCTGCTTAACACTACTCCAGTGGTCAAAAACCCTGGTCCTGGAGAGTTAGAGTGTGCAGGCTTTTGTTCCAGCCCAGCATTAACACACCGATGATTAGTTGATTAGTGGAATCATGTGTGTTAGTATCTGTACTGTTGCTCTCTAGGACTAGAGTTGGTGACAACGGCTTTACTCCATCTACCCTCCCAGCCTGTATGGCTAGTGACAAAGGACTAAAAGGTGAGCTCTTCTGAGTCTGTCCCAGCCAAGAGGGTGCTCAGGGACTCATCATTAGTCTCACCACGTTGCCAGACAACATATTTTGGCATCTGCTAGGGGAGCAAAGAGGCCTGGCACACGAGGCTAGCTACTCCTCATAACAACCAGGCAAGAACTGCAGCGAGTCCTTCTCTTCAACATCTTCATAGTGTTGGCGGCCATTTTAATAAATTAAAACGCTCTTCATTCATGTTAGTGACTGACAGGCGAGAAAGCCTTCTTGACTTCAGGCCAGAGTTATGGGCTGGCCTGCTCAGGCTGGTAAGCCACAGTGTCAAGGTCTGCTGAATGATTGCTGTCCCCTCCTCTGTCAGACTGGTGAATTATTAACCCCATCAGTAACAGGAGACAACAAGGGGAGGGCAGGGGTCAGAGCTCCCTTTCTCCCCCTAGTGGTCATGTGGAGGAATCACAGGACAGGTTGGATGATATACAGGTAACTGCCAAAATAAAGGAAACACCAACATAAAGCGTCTTAAAAGGGCGTTGGGCCACCACGAGCCAGAACAGCTTCAATGTGCCTTAGCATAGATTCTACAAGTGTCTGGAACTCTAGAAATTCCATAAGTTTGTGTTTTGTTGGTGGCGCCATTCCAGAATCTCCCATAAGGTGTTCAATTGGGTTGAGATCTGGTGACTTACATTGTTTTCATGCTCATCAAACCATTCAGTGACCACTCGTGACCTGTGGATGGGGGAATTGTCATCCTATGGGGGCATAGCCATGGTAGCCAAAATAATGGCTTACCCACCATTTTTATGCATTAACCTAAGCATGATGGGATGTTAATTGCTTAATTAACTCAGGAGCCACACCTGTGTGTTAGCACATGCATTCAATATACTTTGTATGCCTCATTTACTCAAGCGTTTCCATTATTTTGGAAGTTACCCGTATCTCCATACTTTAACATGACTCTCCTCTCTATTCTCCATTTTGTATGTTGACCCTCTGATCTGAGAGGGCTTGTTGGTGAGGAATGAGAGACAAGCTAAAGCGACCCTTAAAAGCACTGAATAACAAAAAATTCAGATAGAAAAAACTGAACTAGGGCTGAATGCCTGGATGGAGAGGTCAGAACTGGTCTAAAGGGGCTTGCTGCCTGGGGTAAGGAAGGGTGTTGGAGTTTTTTGGTCCAGCGACCCACCAAAGACCTGTGTGCCATGATGCCAGCTAGAGAAGTGGCTGCTGGCTTAGTGTGGACTTCCTGCTGTCTTGTCCTTGGTCACCTCACTCACATCCTCAGACAAGCTTCAGAACAAAAACACCAGACCAGGATTAGTGGTCCCAGACCCTTTGAAGCCTTGACTCGCTCTGACCTAACACATAGTTTAGGTAATGAGGTTTAGGTAACCTCATTATATAAGGTTTTGGCTCCTTTTTAGGGAAGTTGTAACTGGATTGGGGGTGGGGAGAGGTTGGGATGTTACAGTAAGTATGTGCACATCAGGCAAATGTCCCTTCCCCTCCTTAGCCAATCAAGAGAGACGAGAGAGGAGGAAGCGATATAGGGCAGAAGGAGGTGAGAGAAAGGGGAGGAAGAGGGGTAAGAGGGAGGGGTGTGACAGGGGTGATTGAGGTTGTGATTTTCCGAGTGGTCTGTGAGAAGTGGAAAGTTTAACAGAGCGTGTCACCAAAACCATAAAAGCTAAAGTGGTGGAAAAGAGGCTAAGAGGTAGAACGGAGCCCTTGTTTAAAGTTTAGCATCAGTGACGCAAAGCTGCTCCTGGCCACTGAAGATGCTCTGCCGTCACAGACATTATTAAACTACCTGTCCTGGCTAGCCCCTCTCTTCCCTACACATTGATGGTCCCTTTACTGCAAAGCAACTACTTGCCAGTTCTAAATCAACCCTTAGCCCCTAGGCACTTTGTGTAGATATGAGAGAATGGACTTAAGTGTTCACTCAGTTTGTGGGACCTTTTTTCAAGTTCTTTTTTGTCTAGCTTTTGTAAAGTTGGATGTACACCATATACTCTCATTTCAAGGTGGCCCATTACCATATTGCGAAAGAAATCCTCTTAGATCAGTGCCAAAGCTAAGGGCTAGGGGGTTGACGATGACTGCCCCCTCTGTCTCACAGCACACGCTTTGAGCAGCCACAGCCAAAGAGCGAACCCACATATACAGAACTGTGTCTACACACTGTCCTCCATGTCAACACCAAAAGCTAGTGTTCCAGCTACCCGTCTGTCTGGGGAATGAATCTCACTGGGTCAATCAATTCTTCACAGAATAAATAAACGATAAAAAATGAAAACACACCAACCGTGGCTGTTTTGGGGAATCTTGAGTGGTGAGACAGGTGGTCTGAGTTGAATAGGAATTAAATAGTATTTTATGTTGTGGTCCATCCACACTCTGTCCCCTTAATGTTATTACCCACCGCACCCCACCCCTTAACCCACAAGTGTCAAACTCATTCCACGGAGGGACAAGTGTCTGCTGGTTTTTGCTGTTCCCTTGTACTTCATTGATGAATTAAGGTCATTAATTAATAAAGAACTCCCCACACCTGGTTGTCTAGAGCTTAATTGAAAGGAAAAAACAAAAACATGCAGACACTAGGCCCTCCATGGAATGAGTTTGACACCCCTGCCTTAACCCCATACACGCAGCCCTAAACATTAACCCCAACCCTTGTACCCTATCCCCAGCCCTACCCAACCCTTCTTCCCCAGCCCAGTCCTCTCCTGCTCAAAGTGGGTCTGCTCCCCTGGTCAGTGCCGGTGATGGGGTCTCTCTTCTCTTGTCTTCTCCTCTCATTCTGGGATCTGTAGGGCCATCGCTGCAGGCTTGGTCTTGAAGTATTGGTTGAAACGCAGCACAGCATAGCTGAAGGAGAGAGTGTGAAAATATGGAAGGTGGAGGGAGAAAGAGTGTGAGGGAGAGAGAGGGAAGGAAGGGAGGAAGTGTTGAAAGAGAGCAGAAGAGAGAGTTAAACACCCATTCTGACTAAATGAGTGCACCAACTATCCAATAGCAGCCCTAACAATAGCCCAGACAGATCCCATTGACTGGCTGCTAAACTGTCAGAGCAATATGCCACCTATACAGGCAGGGGCACTGAGTGACCGGGGGGACAGTTCTGTCGTCACTGCAGGACTGATTGGGTTGCAGACACTCAAACCACCAGTCCGTGGGTCAGTTTCACCTCTGCAGGTTCCTGGGGGAGGCAGGGACAAGACAGCTCTCTCTCTCTAATCCATCTCTCCTTTCTCACAATTTTCTCAGGCTCTCGCTCCCCTTTCTATCTCTCACTGTGTGGAAACTGTGTGTAGTGGAAATTGTGCTCTACGACAGAGTTTGACTGTGAGTTTTGGTATGTCTTTCACACTAAGAGATCCCTTTCACTCACATGCACCACAGGCAGACAGGCCAACCAACAGCTTTTAACATCACTCCACAAGGGACCATTACACACACACACACACACACACACACATGCACAGAGGTACTTACCCCAAGAAGTCGAAATTGATGGAGGAGTACTTGGCCTGGATGAGAGCCCAGAAGCCCCAGAAGAAGTGTGACGCCTACAGAGAGAGGTCAGCGGTTAGACAGGGCCAAACTGATCAGCCCAGTACTAACACGTGTGTGTGTGTGTGAGCGAGCAGTGACCACAGTGGTGTGAGCGACAGTGTGTTCCTCACCAGGGCAAACTTGTTGACCTGTACGTAGAGAGTCTCCAGCTCTCGGTCGCTGACCTCCTCTCCTTTCTTAGTGGACGCCTTGTATGCCTGCAAATACACACGCAACCACTCCAGCTGCATCTCACGGCTAGGATACAGCCCATAGTCCAGCTCACTCATACCTGAAAACATACAGACACATATTATATATGGTGTACAGTACGTCATGACTAAGATACAGCCCATGTATCTCCTCTTACCTGCAAACTCGTTGAAGTGGTTCCCGATGTCAAATGCCTGATAGTTGTAACTAGAGTATTCATAGTCTATGAACCGGACATGGCCTGGAGGAAAAAAAAGAGAGGATGGAAGAAAAATATGAGTAATAATGTGACTAATATGTTGTCCAACATTGGCACTGGAGAGTTACTGGCTTTTTTTTTTTCAAGTTGTGACTCTTTGCGGTTATGGGATGACAATGTTCTACTAGAGATCTGCATCTTCCCTTTTCAAGACGATTCGATACGCATCTAGTTACATGGGCTCTGATACCATACAGGAACGATACGTTTTAGTTTGAAACGAATTGATGTGATTCAGATTGATGCAATACGATTCGATGCAGTTATTACATAAACACAGATTTTCCATTAGAAATTAAAATCTGCTGCTAATGAAGCTCATGAGCCTCTCTACGCTGGATAGTGTGTGTGCCTGTTTGTGTGTGTGTATGTACAGTACCAGTCAAAAGTTTAGACACACCTACTCATTCAAGGGCTTTTCTTTATTTTTACTATTTTCTACATTGTAGAACAATAGTGAAGACATCAAAAATATGAAATAACACATATGGAATCATGTAGTAACCAAAAAAGTGTTAAACAAATCAAAATATATTTGAGATTCTTCAAAGTACACAATGTCATTTTTTTGTTTGTGCTTTTCTATTAACCAATTTCTGTGTTCTGTTTGTGCTTTTCTATAAACCAATTTCTGTGTTCATGCAAGTGACTGATTGAACAAATCCTCACTATCAGTATCTGCAATTTGGCAGTATGCCCAGAACCTTGTTTAGAGAAAGGGATATCTCAGTTTCAAGGTCTCAGCTTAGAGAGAAGAAGCCTCGTGAGGTATTGGTCTGTCACATGAATGAAGCAAACATTAATTATGAATGAGGAATAAGCTAAATCATGCAAATATAACTTGTCAGTATATAAGGGAACTAATGGGACTGCCCTGTTAGAGCTCCTGACAGACGTTCACTATGGTGCATCAAGTTTGTTGGAACCTCTCGAGTGCGCTGATAATAAACAATGATTAATTTAATATTGACTTAGTGTCCCTGTGTAGTATTTCCACAACACGTCCAACCGGCCTCACAACCAAAGACCACGTGTATGGCGTCGTGTGGGCAAGTGGTTTACTGATGTCAACGTTGTGAATAGAGTGCCCCATGGTGGCGGTGGGGTTATGGTATGGGCAGGCATAAAGCCATGAAAAATGAACACAATTGCATTTTATTGATGGCAATTTGAATGCACAGAGATCCTGTGATGAGATCCTGAGGCCCATTGTCGTGCCATTCATCCGCCGCCATCACCTCGTGTTTCAGCATGATAATGCACGGCCCCAATGTCGCAAGGCTCTGTACAAAATTCCTGGAAGCTGAAAACGTCCCAGTTCTTCAATGGCCTGCACACTCACCAGACATGTCACCCATTGAGCATGTTTGGGATGCTCTAGATCGACGTGTATGACAGCGCGTTCCAGTTCACGCACAATATCCAGCAACTTCGCACAGCCATTGAAGAGTGGGACAACATTCCACAGGCCACAATCAACAGCCTGATCAACTCTATGCGAAGGAGATGTCGTGCTGCTTGAGGCAAAATGGTGGTCACGCTGACTGTTTTTCTGATCCACGCCCCTCCTTAAAAAAAAAAAAAGAAGGTATCTGTGACCAACAGTCATGCGAAATCCATAGATTAGGGCCTAATTTATTTATTTTAATTGACTGATTTCCTTACATGAACTGTAACTCAGTAAAATCTTTGAAATTGTTGCGTTTATATTTTTGTTCAGTATTATTTGTCATTTTTGCAGATAAAAAATGTTAGAGATGGTAATGTATCAATATTCATGTAAAAAAATAACTTATGACATAGCCAATGAATCTATAGCAACAATTTGGATTTCACCCATAATCGAATGGTTTAGACCGTTTCTTCTCCCTGCATTGCGGGTAGCAAAAGTGATTCACCCTGTATATCCAAACATTTCCATATATACCAATTGTTTCAAGCAAAACTACCAAAACTATTGCAGATGGTGAACCTGATCAAAATAAAATATAATGTCGCCTAAGCCCCGATCAGCATGTAGCCTACCTATAGCCAGATGAGAGTTGTGTCTCCAGTAGTATGCTACTTTTATTCTGGTAAAACAATTTTCAACAGCGCATTTGATAAAAAATGTCCTTGCAAATTACATTAGTTGTCACTCAATTAATAAAGCCTAATCTTGCGCAAGCCATTTTACAAACATTTGAATGCTGAAGATGACTTTGAGATGTGCCAGATCAGGAATAGGCCTACCTCTCGTTGCTCAGCGCACGAAGATTCGCACCGCACGCAGTTTGACTAGGCTACTGATATTTCCTGGGTTTGTTCGGCATGCAAAATTACTGTCAACATAATTACATGCTTAGTTTGACACTGAAGGAGAGGATGCAGTTGTCAAAATGATGAGAGGTATTTTCGGAAGGTAGAAAGAAAGTAATTTGAGCAAAAAACATCTGTGAACCGGCGATTCATAATGTTTGAATCGATTTTGACAGATGCATGCTACATTTGCATCGTTTTGGGGTCCCTCGCGACAGATGCACTCATTTCTTAAACATTTGAACCAGGAACCAATGCCTATCGGTGAATTGTTACATCCCTTTGTTCTATCTAGAGCTGGGCGGTATACCGTATTTTACTATATACTGGTATTGATGGAGTACACCAACAGCCAGCAGCCGTCCAGGGGCACCCTCCTCCACAGCTCAGCCGGTCGCTGACCAAAGGAAGCAAGGTCTTGGGCCCTCCTCCACCTCTCTGAGGATCCCGATGCCATGCGCTGCTACATGTGCAGTGAGTCAGGTTGGTATGAGTCGAAGCATACCTCCTCCACCCTGCCAGAGGCAGGCCCGTTCGGTTCCCCATCTTCCTTCCGCATCGTATTCCATCACGACCAACATTGTCTTGGGCAGCTCGATGGTGAGAGATTTTGGCCTGCCTACGGCCTGTGGGCCGACCGAGGTCCATTGTCACCCAGGCGCCCGTTTCCAAGACGTCAACTCGCTCCTGCCCACAGTTCTAGCCAACGACACTCCCGCTTCGACTACTACTCTAATATTGGCACCATTGTCACTCAAGTTAGCTTTAACAACATTCGCTTTTGGCAATCTGAGGAACTGAAGGACTACAACATTCTCTTGAACACCCTTGTTTGCACAGGGAAGAGAACAATCATCTCTGGCCCCTTGCCATGCTATAGAAGTGCAGTGAATGTAAGTACTCTAATCTATGTTCCTTTAACTGTTAGCTCCGAGGATATTATCTGCAATAATCATATGCACATAGAATTTAATTCCACTGTTTGCACTGAAACTGTCTGCCATAGGAAGAAGCCCACTGTGGGCAGCCCACCCAGTACCATTGACTCAAATGTAAATGTCACTGACATGTCTATCTCGGATCAACCTTTCAGAATAGCACTAAAAACAAACAAGCAACCCAGAAAAGAACTAAAAATAGCCCATATTAACATACAGTGCATTTGGAAAGTATTCAGACCCCTTCCCTTTCTCCACATTTTGTTACGTTACAGCCTTATTCAATCTACACACAATAACCCATGACAAAGCGAAAATAGATTTTTAGACATTTACCCTACTTATATAAGTATTCAGACCCTTTGCTATGAGACTTGAAATTGAGCTCAGGTGCATCCTGTTTCCATTGATCATCCTTGAGATGTTTCTACAACTTGATTGGTGTCCACCTGTGGTAAATTCAATTGATTGGACATGATTTGGAAAAGCACACACCTGTATATATAAGGTCCCACAGTTGACAGTGCATGTCAGAGCAAAAACCAAGCCATGAGATCGAAGGAATTGTCTATAGAGCTCCGAGACAGGATTGTGTCGAGGCACAGATCTAGGGAAGGGTACTAAAACATTTCTGCAGCATTGAAGGTCCCCAAGAACACAGTGGCCTCCATCATTCTTAAATGGAAGAAGTTTGGAACCACCAAGACTCTTCCTAGAGCTGGCCACCCGGCCAAACTGAGCAATCAGGGGAGAAGGGCCTTGGTCAGGGAGGTGACCAAGAACCTAATGATCACTCTGACAGAGCTCCAGAGTTCCTCTGTGGAGATGGGAGAACCTTCCAGAAGGACAACCATCTGTGATGAACGGAGCAAAATATCCTTAATAAAAACCTGCTCCAGAGTTCTCAGGACCTCAGATTGGGGCTAAGGTTCACCTTTCAACAGGACAATGACCCTAAGCACACAGCCAATACAACACAGGAGTGGCTTCGGGCAAGTCTCTGAATGTCCTTGAGTGGCCCAGCCAGAGCCCTGACTTGAACCCGATCGAACATCTCTGGAGAGACCGTAAAATAGCTGTGCAGCGATGCTCCCCATCCAACCTGACAGAACTTGAGAGGATCTGCAGAGAAGAATGGGAGAAGCTCCCCAAATATAGGTGTGGCAAGCTTGTAGCGTCATACCCAAGAAGACTCAAGGCTGTAATCGCTGCCAAAGGTGCTTCAACAAAGTACTAAACGGTCTGAATACTTAAGTAAATGTCATATTTCCGTATTTTCATTTTTATACATTTGCAAAAATTTCAAAAAAACAGTTTTTTGCTTTGTCATTATGGGGTATTGTGTGTAGATTGATGAGGGGAAAAACAATTTAATCAATTTTAGACTAAGGCTTTAACGTAGCAAAATGTGGAAAAAGTAAACGGGTCTGAATAATTTCTGAATGCACTGTATGTGGACACCCCTCCAAATTAGTGGATTCGGCTATTTCAGCCACACCCATTGCTGACAGGTGTATAAAATCGAGCACACAGCCATGCAATCTCCATAGACAAACATTGGCAGTAGAATGGCCTTACTCAGTGACCACACACGCTCACAGAACGGGACCGCTGAGTGCTGAAGTGCGTAAAAATCGTCTGTCCTCGGTTGCAACACTCACTACCGAGTTCCAAACTGCCTCTGGAAGCAACGTCAGCACAATAACTGTTTGTCGGGAGCTTCATGAAATGGGTTCCCATGGCAGAGCAGCCGCACACAAGCCTAAGATCACCATGCGCAATGCCAAGCGACGGCTGGAGTGGTGTAAAGCTCGCCGCCATTGGACTCTGTAGCAGTCGAAATGCGTTCTCTGGAGTGATGAATCACGCTTCACCATTTAGCAGTCCGACGGACAAATCTGGGTTTGGCGGATGCCAGGAGAACGCTACCTGCCCCAACACATAGTGCCAAAAATAAAGTTTGGTGAAGGAGGAATAATGGTTTGGGCTAGTCCCCTTAGTTCCAGTGAAGGGAAATCTTAATGCTACAGCATACAATGACATTCTAGACGATTCTGTTCTTCAAACTTTGTGGCAACAGTTTCAGCATGACAATGCCCCCATGCACAAAGCGAGGTCTATACAGAAATGGTTTGTCGAGATCGGTGTGGAAGAACTTGACTGGCCTGCACAGAGCCCTGACCTCAACCCCATTGAACACATTTGGGATGAATTGGAACGCCGACTGTGAGCCAGGCCTAATTACCCAACATCACTGTCCGACCTCACTAATGCTCGTGGCTGAATGGAAGCAAGTCCCCGCAGCAATGTTCCAACATCTAGTGGAAAGCCGTGGATGAGTGGAGTGGATGCTGTTATAGCAGCAAAGGGGGGACCAACTCCATATTAATGCCCATGATTTTGGAATAAAATGTTCGACAAGCAGGTGTCCACATACTTTTGGTCATGTAGTGTATCTGCACCTAGCAAACCATAATCTAAACCCAACAGATAAAACACTAATTACTCTAGCCTTCATTTCGGTGGCTAGTTAGCTGGTTATCTGTTTGGCTAGCTAGTGAAAGTGACAGCTGAGGTTGACGCTTCGTGAGCGCAGTCCAAATTTACCGCTACACACAAGTTCTTGCCTGAAAGACTAACTAATTAGCTAGCAGCTTGGGCCGTTTCCTTATGAATTACATTGGTAGAAACAAGACAAAACAACCAACAAGTTAGCTGACTATATGCAGCTAAACACTGCAACTATTTCCATGAGACAGAGAGCAATCATTCGAGCTCGCCTGTACCAACCAAGTTATCATGACTTGCTAATCTGAGAGCTATTTCAAATCAAATCAAATCAAATTTTATTGGTCACATGCGCCGAATACAACAGGTGCAGACATTACAGTGAAACGCTTACTTACAGCCCTTAACCAACAGTGCATTTATTTTAAACAAAAAAGTAAAAATAAAACAAAAAAAAAGTGTTGAGAAAAAAAAGAGCAGAAGTAAAATAAAGTGACGCTTTTCAAAGTGCAAGGACGTGTCCGAATCAGTATCACCAACCAACATAGATGCAGCCTCTTTCACAGTGAAAAGTTGTGTCTACTTCGGCGCCATCATTTTGAGCAATGAAGTTAAAAAAAACTTTAAAATGTCAAACGACAGCATACCCTGTTTGCGGTTTCTGGTTGATGACAACAGCCACGCGAATACGACAACAGGTTGTTAGAAAGTTAATTTTGCGATATTGACACAGATATTATTGTTAGAAAAACAAGGCAGTTCGCGGCCGCTATAGTAATTTAAAGAGAAGCCGTTGACAGCCACTATGGGTTCTAAAGAGTTAATATAAATCCACAAGCGTTCTATAATTACACTATTAGTTTGTTTTAACATCTGCAAACAGCTAGTTTGTATTTTCATAGCAATTTGTGGCTAAATCGTGTTAGCCGCTAATACTAATTGCTAGTCAGAGCAAACGTAGCTAGCTATACAGCCTGATACCAGTGATGGTGAAGGCCTAAATCAGCATGTTGTTTGTGCAACAGTATCTTCTCAACCAAAGAGGATTAGGCGAAGTATGAATATGTTAGCTAGCTAACAGAAAACATTTAATGTAGCCAAATATTATAGGGTCCGCTAGGAAACACTGACCAGCATTTTGGTTCCTACCCTGTCACAATAACTCCTCCCTGTCAAACACTGTATTCAAAGTGCCCACTATTATAATCTAACTATAAAATTATAATAATCATTCTATTTCTATGATCCCAACCGTTCACCCAAGTGTTTTGATCTATATTGCAAGTCAAAACGCAACTGCAACATTTGGTTAAAAATAATGCCTCGATTTTTTGCCAATATCGTGCAGCCCTTCGTCATAGTGTGGAAATGATCTGAAATGAGTGCAGGAAAAGCAGAAATTGATGAAAATGCAGAAAGTATTTTGTTTAATTGAACAGTATAAAACAATCAGAATGGAGAAAGACCCATTGAAATCACTTAGAATGTATGTGTTGCCACCCTAGGGTCACGCACTACTCATAATGCACATTTAGAATTTGTATTATTCAAAAACATAAAATACCGTCAAAATTATAAAAATACCGTGATATGATATTTGGCCAATTTCACCCCCAGCCCTAGTTCTACCTATAGATGTCCTTGGCCTCTTTGCTGTTGTGGACAAAGTTCTAACCGTGTGGAAGATGTTCTAACATTGCTGTAACCAACTCACTCTCTTTGCTGTTGTGGATGATGTTCTTGCAGAGCAGGTCATTGTGGCAGAGCACCACAGGAGAGCCGAGCTGAGACAAGTGCTCCTTCATCCACACCATCTCCTGCTCCAACACTGCCTGGCTGGGCACCTCCTGCTGGATCCTGGAGAGAAAGGGGTGGTGGTGATGGGGGGGGGGAGTCCACAATTTCAGATAAACATCCATGTCTCCGTTTCCTCCCTGTGACTGTTGTCGAGGACACCATGTTCATCGTTAAATAAAAACAACAGTAAGTTGCCTCTATTTAGAGTGAATGAAATAGCTTTGACAGGTTTTCACCAAAGTGTATGGACAACAGTGCATGGGACTTTGTAGAATTAACAAAAAAAGACATGCACACACTAGTCTGTATCTCAAAAGGGTAGAGATTCTCACTCCTTGCACGCTGCCTTACATGCAGGAGCTTTGGGCTACTGTTGATTGCGAAGATTAGGTATTTTTCATTGACGTAAAACGAAAGTTAGCGAGTATGCCTATTGTGGTCCTCTGTAGCTCAATTGGTAGAGCATGGCGCTTGTAACGCCAGGGTAGTGGGTTCGATCCCCGGGACCACCCATACATAAAAATGTATGCACACATGACTGTAAGTCGCTTTGGATAAAAGCGTCTGCTAAATGGCATATTATTATTATTTATATTATTACAAGGGGAATGTCCTCCGTATGGACAAGTTTTAATATTGTAGAGGACTAAGATAAGAAGAACGTTGGCGCAGCAAAATGCAGGCTACTGTGCAACTCGCTATTCAGGTAGGATGCAATTTTTGAACTTTTGAACTTTTTTCATATTTATAATTTGTTTTATCATTTTTACTCTATATCATTGTTATCATTGTAGGCCTATTGATTAATCTAAACCAATTCTTTAAATATGCAAAATGTGTTTTGTTTAATTCTGTTTAAACATTTTCATTGGCTAAATTAAGTTTGATCTGTCTTTTTAATTGTGTCCTCCGTATTTAGTTTAAGATAGGTTATAAGTAGGCCTGTTGTAAAATAAATATCATTAGCCTATTGCTGTCATTTGTTGGGTACAGTAAGCACTAGCCTTTCTTGGTAATTGCTGCAATATAGCCTGTTCAACATTTTGTGAAGGTTTAAACCAGTTCGCAAGTGTTTTATTTTCTTCTGTTGAGCCATTTTCTTTGGCCAAATTAAGTTCCAACTGTAATGTTGTGTTTGCCGCAATATACTATTCTGCACGTATTTTCCGTATAAACAATGGCTTGACTTTTGATATTACCCTAATAAAGTTTATAAACTTTTGTGAAGGTTTGCTGTGGTGTGGCTATTAGCCTATTATACTGCAGACCTATGATATGCAGGCAGTGAGCAGTTGACTCCGACAGTTGAACTTGAGGTGAGGTACAAATGTTCTTGGCATACAAGAGTTACTCCTATAATCTAACATTATAAACAAATATTTTGATAGAAAACTAACATATTAGCCTCCTTCAGTACGCCTTTATCTGTATAGCAGATGCAGTAGCCTATCTGACAAGGATAAAGAAATACACGTTGGTGTCATAGTATGCCGCCGGCATATCTCGATCTCTCTCTCTCTCTGGGGCTAAGTTTACAGTCCATTCAGAAAGTATTCAGACCCCTTGACTTTTTCCACATTTTGTTATGTTAAAGCCTCATTCAAAAATGTATTAAAAAAATAAAAAGTTCCCCCCAAAGATCTACACACAATACCCCATAATGACAAAGCGAAAACAGGTTTTTAGACATTTTTGCAAATGTATTCAAAATAACAACATAAATACTTTATTTACATCAGTATTCAGACCCTTTGCCATGAGACTCAAAATTTAGCTCAGGTGCATGCTGTTTCCATTGATCATCCTTGAGATGTTTCTACAACTTGATTGTAGTCCACCTGTGGGGAATTCAATTGATTGGACATGATTTGGAAAACCACACACCTGTCTATATAAGGTCCCACAGTCGACAGTGCAGGTCAGAGCAAAAACCAAGCCATGAGGTCGAAGGAATTGTCCGTAGAGCTCTGAGACAGGATTGTGTTGAGGCACAGATCTGGGGAAGGGTATCAAAAAATATCTGCAGCATTGAAGGTTCCCAAGAACACAGTGGCCTCCATTATTTTTAAATGGAAGATGTTTGGAACCACCAAGACACTTCCTAGAGCTGGCCGCCTGGCCAAACTGAGTAATCGGGGGAAAAGGGCTTTGGTCAGGGAGGTGACCAAGAACCCGATGGTCACTCTGATAGAGCTCCAGAGTTCCTCTGTGGAGATTGGAGAACCTTCCAGAAGGACAACCATCTCTGCATCACTCCACCAATCAGGCTTTATGGTAGAGTGGCCAGACGGAAGCCACTCCTCAGTAAAAGGTACATGACAGCCCGCTTGGAGTTTGCCAAAAGGCAACTAAAGACTCGCAGACCATGAGAAACAAGATTCTCTGGTCTGATGAAACCAAGATTGAACTCTTTGGCCTGAATGCCAAGCGTCACATCTGGAGGAAACCTGGCACCATCCCTATGGTGAAGCATGGTGGTGGCAGCATCATGCTGTGGGGATGTTTTTCAGCGGCAGGGACTGGGAGACTAGTCAGGATCGAGGGAAAAGATGAACGGAGCAAAATACATAGAGATCCTTGATGAAAACGTGCTCCAGAGCGCTCAGGACCTCAGACTGGGGTGAACAGGTGATCGACCCTAAGCACACAGCCAAGATCTGCAGTGAAGAATGGGAGAAACTCCCCAAATACAGGTGTGCCAAGCTTGTAGCGTCATACCCAAGAAGACTCGAGGCTGTAATCGCTGCCAAAGGTGCTTCAACAAAGTTCCTAGTAAAGGGTCTGAATACTTATGTAAATGTAATATTTCAGTTTTTTATTTTTTTAATACATTTGCAAAAATGTCTAAAAACCTGTTTTTGCTTTGTCATTATGGGGTATTGTGTGTAGATTGATGAGGGGAAAGAAACAATTGAATCCATTTTAGAATAAGGCTGTAACGTCACAAAATGTGGAAAAAGTCAAGGGGCCTGAATACTTTCCGAAGGCACTGTATACAGTATATATATTTTTTATATCAATATCATACAGTGGACGCCTAAGCCTATAGGCCTATGAATGCAATGCCCTGATGCATTTAGTGCTCAAATCTCCGACATCTGAACCGTGAGGTGGACCATTATTGTTTTAGGAAAGTAAAAACTAAATGCTATAAAGTTCTGCATATGCTACACATCCAAACACAAGAATAGTGTTTTTGTAATTTGTTATAGGCTGTTTTTAAGGACAGGTAAATGTGGCTCATTTGGTCAATATCCCTTGTTTATTGATGGCGCTGGCTGTGTGGGTGGACACCCTAATGGGTAACGCAGCCAATGCATATGGATGACCATTCAATTTCTCAAATGTCCGATAAATTAAAATCTTCCCGGTCACTTGTACGGCGCCAAAGTTTCCTATCGGAAACCCTGGTGTGTATGTGTGTACTGTATGTGTGTTTGTGTGAGAGTAAGAGAGAGTGAGGTAATGTGTGTGTACTGTATACACCCTGAGAGTGCCCAGTGGAGCAGTGCTGAGAGGAAAGGGTTCATTCCATGGGTAACTGTCTCGGCCAATTGAGCGACCACTCTCCTGTGGTAATGGGCTTAAAGGGCTAATCCAGAGTTAGCCTGAAGAGGAAGAGATGGGGAGAGGAAGAGAAGAAAGGAGAGGGGGAGGAGAGGATTGACCGACTCCCACTGTGTTAACTCTCTATCCAGGGATTCCCACCTCTAACCTTCATCCATTAGTAGTACAGCAACAGTTACTACTATAGGGAATACTCCCTAGTACCAGTAACCAACCACCAACTGCTACTACTGCTGCTTCTCCCTATAGCCTATCCCCACTGAGGACCATCTGTACCCAGGCCACCGCTCTCTTACTGAGCTCCCTGTCTCCAAGAGCTTCACCCAGCTCTCCTCCCTGCCTGCCCAGGATCTCTGCTGTTGGCTGGGTATAGGAGCAAGTTGAGCAACCAGCACCTACCCTCAAGAAGGCAGAAGCCTCCTCTTCTCTGGGCACAGTTGTTGAGTCTACGTGTGTGTGAGTGTGACTAGTAGTGAGTGTGACTAGTAGTGTGTACGGTGCAGGCAGGATAGTTGAATGACACAGTGTGCTACGTTACCAAGGTGTTCTAGGCAGGCTGATAAATTGTAAGCGTTATGTAAACATCTGATATCCCGATGCATACCTCTGGCTCCCTAATCCACATCTACCCTACACTGTAGTTATGATCACACTTACATAAGAGCCTGTATAGAGGACTTAATAACCATGGGAATAAAGTGTAATCCACCCAGACACAGACGACTGAGAACAGGACTGTAAGGTAACTGGCCAGCGTATGTATGAACAATAAACCAGGTTATGAAAAGACCCTTCTGAGTAAGATGGGCCAAAGTGTGTCTGAGCCAGTGTGTGTGCGTGTGTGTAACTTCGGTCTAGTTTCTTTACAGTCTCTGTGTGTTTTCAGGTTACCTGGTGTGGAGTGTGTTTGTGTCTTTTCAGGTTCCTCTTACCTGGTGTTGGAGGCTTGGTCGGTGAACTCTGTAGCGACCAGAGAGAAATATTTCCTCATCTTGATCCACAGGTTGGGTTTGGGGATGCAGCCGTTGTGTGCGTGGATCGCATGGATACGAGCCATCTCCCTGGATATCAGTCTAAGGAGGAAGACACACACGATAAGATACTATATTACACACTACTCAATACAGTATACCAGTACTCACCCTTTATGCAAACATGTTTGTTCTGATGAATTAAATAAAATACAATGTGCTCATCTAAAATTACTCATATCCACGAAAAAGGTTGGGTCCTGGATCCTTCTCTGATAATGTATTAACTTGACCGCTTGACCTCTAATTCTAGTTCCATGGGTTTAGGACTGTCTTGATACTTTTCAGTCCCTCTGGATTCATCAGAAGTCTACTATACTATATACTATACTATACTATACTATACTATACTATACTATACTATACTATACTATACTGTCTGAGCACCGTACCATGTGCTGCCGTGTTCAGTCTGCTGTAAACAAAGTCCTGACCGTAACATCTCACTACATTTACATTACATTTACATTTTAGTCATTTAGCAGACGCTCTTATCCAGAGCGACTTACAGTTAGTGAGTGCATACATTATTTTTTAATTTTTCATACTGGGAATCGAACCCACAACCCTGGCGTTGCAAACACCATGCTCTACCAACTGAGCTACATCCCTGCCGGCCATTCCCTCCCCTACCCTGGACGACGCCGGGCCAATTGTGCGCCGACCCATGGGACTCCCGGTCACGGCCGGCTACGACAGAGCCTGGATTCGAACCAGGATCTCTAGTGGCACAGCTAGCACTGCGATGCAGCGCCTTAGACCACTGCGCCACTCGGGACTACAACTACCCATAAACCCAGCAGAACAGACAGTGTGACCATGTGGATGGAAAACATGTATCACCATAACTCAAGGTTAGAGCAGTGAAGATGCTCTCCTATACTGGTTTCCTAGAAAGAGCAGGAGGGAGAAAGGACCTGAATGAGCACAGAGTGCAGTGGTGTGTACCATAAACTCCTATCAACTCCTCAGGGAGTTTGTATTGAGGGTGTGTATATTTACAAATCAAAGCCCGCCTTCCCTGCGGGCTAGACAGATAACAGGATCAGCTTGAAGAGGGTTTTCTAGTAAACTGCTGTTTTGGGTAGCATTGTCCCGATCCGTTTAACAGGTACCTCTACACCTCACCTATACCATCACACCTTCGTAGGGAGGGGTCCCTGTTGGACTGCACCATGTCCTCACCTGAGTAGGGAGGGATCCCTGTTGGACTGCACCATGTCCTCACCTGAGTATGGTAGGATCCCTGACGTCCTGTGTTCCGAGGGCGTCCCCCTGCATGAACTCGTAGCAAAGGCCATTCTGGAAGGTGCAGTAGAGCCGCGGTGCGCAGCCGTTAGCATGCAGCACCTGGGAACACACACAAATTATTAGACACAGGTGACCTAAGACAGACCAGGAAATAGCCTCCATATGGGTCCATGCACAGGGAGTTGAACTTGGCTACCAGTGTAGATGCACTTCCTGAAGAATCTGCTGTTTGATTTACATACAGTGGGGAGAAAAAGTATTTAGTCAGCCACCAATTGTGCAAGTTCTCCCACTTAAAAAGATGAGAGGCCTGTAATTTTCAACATAGGTACACGTCAACTATGACAGACAAATTGAGGAAAGAAAATCCAGAAAATCACATTGTAGGATTTTTAATGAATTGATTTGCAAATTATGGTGGAAAATAAGTATTTGGTCACCTACAAACAAGCAAGATTTCTGGCTCTCACAGACCTGTAACCTCTTCTTTAAGAGGCTCCTCTGTCCTCCACTCGTTACCTGTATTAATGGCACCTGTTTGAACTTGTTATCAGTATAAAAGACACCTGTCCACAACCTCAAACAGTCACACTCCAAACTCCACTATGGCCAAGACCAAAGAGCTGTCAAAGGACACCAGAAACAAAATTGTAGACCTGCACCAGGATGGGAAGATTGAATCTGCAATAGGTAAGCAGCTTGGTTTGAAGAAATCAACTGTGGGAGCAATTATTAGGAAATGGAAGACATACAAGACCACTGATAATCTCCCTCGATCTGGGGCTCCACGCAAGATCTCACCCCGTGGGGTCAAAATGATCACAAGAACGGTGAGCAAAAATCCCAGAACCACACGGGGGGACCTAGTGAATGACCTGCAGAGAGCTGGGACCAAAGTAACAAAGCCTACCATCAGTAACACACTACGCCGCCAGGGACTCAAATCCTGCAGTGCCAGACGTGTCCCCCTGCTTAAGCCAGTACATGTCCAGGCCCGTCTGAAGTTTGCTAGAGTGCATTTGGATGATCCAGAAGAGGATTGGGAGAATGTCATATGGTCAGATGAAACCAAAATAGAACTTTTTGGTAAAAACTCAACTCGTCGTGTTTGGAGGACAAATAATGCTGAGTTGCATCCAAAGAACACCATACCTACTGTGAAGCATGGGGGTGGAAACATCATGCTTTGGGGCTGTTTTTCTGCAAAGGGACCAGGACGACTGATCCGTGTAAAGGAAAGAATGAATGGGGCCATGTATCGTGAGATTTTGAGTGAAAACCTCCTTCCATCAGCAAGGGCATTGAAGATGAAACGTGGCTGGGTCTTTCAGCATGACAATGATCCCAAACACACCGCCCGGGCAATGAAGGAGTGGCTTCGTAGGAAGCATTTCAAGGTCCTGGAGTGGCCTAGCCAGTCTCCAGATCTCAACCCCATAGAAAATCTTTGGAGGGAGTTGAAAGTCCGTGTTGCCCAGCGACAGCCCCAAAACATCACTGCTCTAGAGGAGATCTGCATGGAGGAATGGGCCAAAATACCAGCAACAGTGTGTGAAAACCTTTTGAAGACTTACAGAAAACGTTTGACCTGTGTCATTGCCAACAAAGGGTATATAACAAAGTATTGAGAAACTTTTGTTATTGACCAAATACTTATTTTCCACCATAATTTGCAAATAAATTCATTAAAAATCCTACAATGTGATTTTCTGGATTTTTTTTCCTCATTTTGTCGGTCATAGTTGACATGTACCTATGATGAAAATTACAGGCCTCTCATCTTTTTAAGTGGGAGAACTTGCACAATTGGTGGCTGACTAAATACTTTTTTCCCCCACTGTAGATGTCTTCTAGTGAAGCAACTGAAAGCTCTGAAGTGTCAAGTGTGTGAACTGTGAAGGGTGTGTGTGTGTGTGTGTTTGAGAACATGTGTACGTGCACCTGGAAGCTCTTGAGCTCATTGTCTCGGTCGACAATCAGCTCCGTCTTGTTCCCGTACACGCGCACCAGAACCACATCTTCTGGACTCGCCTCCACATAACAACCAACCAGCTTATTAGTGGTCCCATCAGTGAAGAGCTGAGAGAGGGAGAACGGGAGAGAGAGAGAGAGAGATTAATACAGCAGAAAATCAGTAGCGCCATCACCAGTGAAGGTCTGGAAAGACGGACTGGGAGGGAGAGATTCTGGGAGAATTTCAATTGCATACTCCTCGCGTCCACAAAACCAATTGGTTTGCAATTGAGATTCTCCCATTGTTTAGTTGGGTTTACTCTAGTTTACTGTCACTAGGTAATTTGAGGCACAAGCCTGTCCTTGTCAGGAATCATATCAGAATGCATAGGCCTAGATGACCATGAGAAGGTTGAGTGAGTCACAACAGTGATTTCCTAGGTCTGACTATCTCCTGAGCTGAGACAGCAGAAACAGGTCATTTCCATGTAAAAGGACCCATGAGCACCAACATGTGACGTTTATAGGAGCATATCATATTTGGTATCAAATGAGCTAAAAGTCTATATTTTGGGGAAATTAAGGTATAGATGTTTTTCAACCATTTTCCATTCTAATAATAATAATAATAATAATAATAACAATAATAAGGAAAAAGCAAAGGCTTTGATTTCTGGTCACACAGATTGCAAAGGAGTCTTAAAAACATCTACTAGAAAAAGTATTAAAAGTATTAGAAATACATAAAAACACAATGTTGAAGTAAAGGCCTCTGCCAACTAATATCAACATTTATATTTAGTTGTGCAGAAATGATTTGCCTTCTGTAAGTTTAAAAAATATTGTTTTGTCATTCTGTTACCAAAAACCCACACATCTTTCAGATATTTTCTAATTTCTCTCACTCATGAGGAGGGAGGATTATGAAAGTTCACAGAAGTAACAATTTGTAAGTCGCTCTCCAATTTGTAAGTCGCTCTGGATAAGAGCGTCTGCTAAATGATGTAAATGTAACAAGTTAAGGTTGACCTACCAATTAGTTAGTGTTTTTACTGATAACAATTCATACACAAAAGTAATAAGTGATTAAAAACGCGTCATACTTACCAAAATCGGTAACAGAAACTAGGTTTCCATCCAATTGGCGACAGATTTAAGGGAATTTAAGAATTCGCATAAAGAAGATACAGTGAGGGAAAAAAGTATTTGATCCCTGCTGATTTTGTACGTTTGCCCACTGACAAAGAAATGATCAGTCTTTCATTTTAATGGTAGGTTTATTTGAACAGTGAGAGACAGAATAACAACAAAAACATCCAGAAAAACACATGTCAAAAATTTTATACATTGATTTGCATTTTAATGAGGGAAATAAGTATTTGACCCCTCTGCAAAACATGACTTAGTACTTGGTGGCAAAACCCTTGTTGGCAATTACAGATGTCAGACGTTTCTTGTAGTTGGCCACCAGGTTTGCACACATCTCAGGAGGGATTTTGTCCCACTCCTCTTTGCAGATCTTCTCCAAGTCATTAAGGTTTCGAGCCTGACGTTCGGCAACTCGAACCTTCAGCTCCCTCCACAGATTTTCTATGGGATTAAGGTCTGGAGACTGGCTAGGCCACTCCAGGACCTTAATGTGCTTCTTCTTGAGCCACTCCTTTGTTGCCTTGGCCGTGTGTTTTGGGTCATTGTCATGCTGGAATACCCATCCACGACCCATTTTCAATGCCCTGGCTGAGGGAAGGAGGTTCTCACCCAAGATTTGACGGTACATGGCCCCGTCCATCGTCCCCCTGATGCGGTGAAGTTGTCCTGTCCCCTTAGCAGAAAAACACCCAGAGCATAATGTTTCCACCTCCATGTTTGACGGTGGGGATGGTGTTCTTGAGGTCATAGGCAGCATTCCTCCTCCTCCAAACACAGCACTTTGGTCTCAACTGACCACAACACTTTCACCCAGTTCTCCTCTGAATCATTCAGATGTTCATTGGCAAATTTCAGACGGTCCTGTATATGTGCTTTCTTGAGCAGGGGGACCTTGCGGGCACTGCAGGATTTCAATCCTTCACGGCGTAGTGTGTTACCAATTGTTTTCTTTGCGACTATGGTCCCAGCTGCCTTGAGATCATTGACAAGATCCTCCCGTGAAGTTCTGGGCTGATTCCTCACCGTTCTCATGATCATTGCAACTCCACGAGGTGAGATCTTGCATGGAGCCCCAGGCCGAGGGAGATTGACAGTTCTTTTGTGTTTCTTCCATTTGCGAATAATCACACCAACTGTTGTCACCTTCTCACCAAGCTGCTTGGCGATGGTCTTGTAGCCCATTCCAGCCTTGTGTAGGTCTACAATCTTGTCCCTGACATCCTTGGAGAGCTCTTTGGTCTTGGCCATGGTGGAGAGTTTGGAATCTGATTGATTGATTGCTTCTGTGGACAGGTGTCTTTTATACAGGTAACAAACTGAGATTAGGAGCACTCCCTTTAAGAGTGTGCTCCTAATCTCAGCTCGTTACCTGTATAAAAGACACCTGGGAGCCAGAAATCTTTCTGATTGAGAGGGGGTCAAACACTTATTTCCCTCATTAAAATGCAAATCAATTTATAACATTTTTGACATGTGTTTTTCTGGATTTTTTTGTTGTTATTCTGTCTCTCACTATTCAAATAAACCTACCATTCAAATTATAGACTGATCATTTCTTTGTCAGTGGGCAAACGTACAAAATCAGCAGGGGATCAAATACTTTTTCCCCTCACTGTACGCATTTTCCCACCAATGGTGTGTTGCCACCAAATATACTTTTTGCAGATAAAAATAATCATTGTGTGATAACGTAGTCCTCACAAAATGTACTTTTTCGCTTAAGTTTTCATGTAACGAATAAAAATCTAAAGTACAATACGTTTCCATCGCATTTTCAACTCTACTGCATTAAATAGCAAAAGTGCCTACTCTGGTCTTGGCACGTGCGCTCTAGCCAACAGCTAGCAGATACAGTGCAGTAGGCTGTGTGGGTATAGTCTACATGGTGAGATTATTATGGAGAAGAGCGAGAAATTTTTTATTTGTCAAACGGCAGTCAAGCATCGATCATCATGTCACCAGAATAAGACCCTCGATAATTATTGGAAAGGAGCATCAAGATCACCGTGCAATTTCACCATCCTGTGAAGTTCAATGTAATTTATTTAATCTGTAGCCTAATAAACTGCATGGTTTACCGAATCGTAGTGGGAGGACCACACACCATATCATCGCGTGACTCCAAGTTTACTTCGATATGATAGCTATTATATCAATAATTGCGCATAAAGGCATTTCCACCGACATTTCTCGCATAATTCCTTTTACCGACACAAAAAGATCCCACTGTCAAACGAACAAATTATCTGTCAGCATTTATAAAATTGTACCGAAACTTCCTGTTTCCATCACAGCTGTCGTGTTTTGTTTTTTGATACGGTACGACTTTACTCGCATAAAAACTGAGGATAGAAACCTGGTTAGTGACCGAAAAATCTGTAATAGAATGACAGAATTGCGGGTGTAGCAATTACATCTGCTAAATATGTGTGTGTGACCAATAAAATTTGATTTGATTTGATTTGCAATTCTATTGGCCACAATGGGAAATCATTGTAGTCACAAGTTTCACGTTTTATTAGTCATACAGTATGTACAGGATACACATGGTATACAACGTCCAATGAAATGCTTACTTGTAGGTTCCTTCTCGACAATGCAACAATAAGAAATCATAAAAGATAATACAAACATAAAGTAAATGGCTCAGTAGAATATATTTTTTTAGCATAAGTATAATACAGGAAGGGACAATTTATAGTACAATATTTACACATGTACAGTGGGGAGAACAAGTATTTGATACACTGCCGATTTTGCAGGTTTTCCTACTTACAAAGCATGTAGAGGTCTGTAATTTTTATCATAGGTACACTTCAACTGTGAGAGACGGAATCTAAAACAAAAATCCAGAAATTCACATTGTATGATTTTTAAGTAATTAATTTGCATTTTATTGCATGACATAAGTATTTGATACATCAGAAAAGCAGAACTTAATATTTGGTACAGAAACCTTTGTTTGCAATTACAGAGATCATACATTTCCTGTAGGTCTTGACCAGGTTTGCACACACTGCAGCAGGGATTTTGGCCCACTCCTCCATACAGACCTTCTCTAGATCCTTCAGGTTTCGGGGCTGTCGCTGGGCAATACGGACTTTCAGCTCCCTCCAAAGATTTTCTATTGGGTTCAGGTCTGGAGACTGGCTAGGCCACTCCAGGACCTTGAGATGCTTCTTACGGAGCCACTCCTTAGTTGCCCTGGCTGTGTGTTTGGGGTCGTTGTCATGCTGGAAGACCCAGCCACGACCCATCTTCAATGCTCTTACTGAGGGAAGGAGGTTGTTGGCCAAGATCTCGCGATACATGGCCCCATCCATCCTCCCCTCAATACGGTGCAGTCGTCCTGTTCCCGTTGCAGAAAAGCATCCCCAAAGAATGATGTTTCCACCTCCATGCTTCATGGTTGGGATGGTGTTCTTGGGGTTGTACTCATCCTTCTTCTTCCTCCAAACACGGCGAGTGGAGTTTAGACCAAAAAGCTACATTTTTGTCTCATCAGACCACATGACCTTCTCCCATTCCTCCTCTGGATCATCCAGATGGTCATTGGCAAACTTCAGACGGGCCTGGACATGCGCTGGCTTGAGCAGGGGGACCTTGCGTGCGCTGCAGGATTTTAATCCATGACGGCGTAGTGTGTTACTAATGGTTTTCTTTGAGACTGTGGTCCCAGCTCTCTTCAGGTCATTGACCAGGTCCTGCCGTGTAGTTCTGGGCTGATCCCTCACCTTCCTCATGATCACTGATGCCCCACGAGGTGAGATCTTGCATGGAGCCCCAGACCGAGGGTGATTGACCGTCATCTTGAACTTCTTCCATTTTCTAATAATTGCGCCAACAGTTGTTGCCTTCTCACCAAGCTGCTTGCCTATTGTCCTGTAGCCCATCCCAGCCTTGTGCAGGTCTACAATTGTATCCCTGATGTCCTTACACAGCTCTCTGGTCTTGGCCATTGTGGAGAGGTTGGAGTCTGTTTGATTGAGTGTGTGGACAGGTGTCTTTTATACAGGTAACGAGTTCAAACAGGTGCAGTTAATACAGGTAATGAGTGGAGAACAGGAGGGCTTCTTAAAGAAAAACTAAAAGGTTCTGTGAGAGCCGGAATTCTTACTGGTTGGTAGGTGATCAAATACTTATGTCATGCAATAAAATGCAAATTAATTACTTACAAATCATACAATGTGATTTTCTGGAAATTACAGACCTCTACATGCTTTGTAAGTAGGAAAACCTGCAAAATCGGCAGTGTATCAAATACTTGTTCTCCCCACTGTATCAGAGAAAAGGGGGATTGGATGGGGGGGGCAAGTGTTTAAATTGTGCAGTATTAGCAATAGTAAATAAGAGTCTTGTAGCAGCAATTGTGATGACCCTCCACGTCCTTTCCAACCGCTCTGCTAAAAACCGCTCAGCACTCACAGGGAAAACAACTGCCACTCCAAATTCGCTCCATTCATTAAAATCACAATTTAACAAACACCCATCTATTTTTGTGACTACCTGGACCTACCATTTGGTTTTGAAGTATTGAAACCAAACCATATGATTTTAATAAAAAGTATTTGAATAAACATGAAAAGGTGAATGTAAGAAGCGCACATCATTTCAAATAGGCTACATGTCATATTAAAACAGCATATTAACACTAAATAGGTCAGGAGCCAGAAAGGGAGCCTAAGAAGGAACGAAAATGAATTATTTAGGCTATATTATTTCAAGCCTATCGCCTACAAAGGAATGCATTGTGAAGCATTTGCGAGTGCAACACAATAGGCTGGTAGGGACATAAAGCTCTCAACATTTGAACAACATTTTGTTGTATTAAATCATTACAGTCTATAAACAGCACATATAGGCTGTGACTTAATTCGAATTAAATACAAATTAAACAAAAAATGACTTAGTCACTTTGAATTTATTTTTTGAATTCATTTTTAGGAAAACTAGTTTGGCCAGTCTGTGGCTTCAGGCTCATGCGAGGGTGCCTGGAGAGCCAGCCAGCAGCTGAGAATATCCTCTCCACACTTTCAGAGCCACTGGGGATGCTAAACATCCTTTTGGCCACTGTTGCCAGGCTGGGCAGAGATGCATATTTTTCTTATAGGTAGGCCTAAAGGTTTCTAGGCGAAATAACCCAATCGAAATGGAAAGCTTCTTGAAAGTGGGAATATGCCAGGCCTATTGGGCCAAAATCAATTATGGCCTATTGTATAGATAATAGAACAAAAATGAACGAAACATTTAAGAGATCTGATTTTTAGTTTATAAATACTTTGCTACAATGACACACTTAGTTATCTACCCACCTCGTTCCTTTCTTTTAGCATCTGCATGTAGTAAGTACACCTTCACGTTTTTTGGATACGTGTCTTTTCAGAATCCACAATGATTCTTTAGTTGTGGACACTACATCACCGCACTCCATCTCTTGCTCCTCATCTTTGTAAGTCAACTTGATTTTGCACCTGTGTGTTTAATCAGTTTCTTTATGAAAATATTTAGTGAACTCTATGCTATAGCAGCACACAAGTAGACTACAAATGCATGCTGGGCATGGCCCTGAGCTCGTGAAGCGCTACTGGAGCAGGCGAGAAGGCCGATGCTCCAGCCTTTGGGAATCTCGTTCCGCGCTCCAGTCAAATTGGGGTCACTCCGCTCCTCGTTCCACTCCAGCTCCACTCTGCTCACATACTCTGGTGTGAAGCATGAATGTATATATAGTATGTGTGTGTGTATGTCTGTGTCAGTGTGGGTGTGTGTGTATATGTCTGTGCGTGAGTGAGTGCATGTGTGCTAAGGTCCAATTTGTAAGTCGCTCTGGATAAGAGCGTCTGCTAAATGACTTAAATGTAAATGTAAATGTGCGGAGAGTCAGTGCAGGTGGTCAGTCCAGTTCAAGTGTTCAGCAGTCTGTAGTCTTGTAGATAGAAACTTTCTCTGAGCATGTTGGTATCAGACCTCATGCTCCGATATAGTCTGCCTGACGGTAAGAGAGTGAACAGCTCGTAGCTGAGGTGTGTGGGGTCCATGATGCTGCGGGACTTCCTCAGGCACTGTTTCAAGCAGATGTCCTGGATGGACAGTGATGTACTGGGCCGTCTTCACCACCCGCTGGAGGGCGAGGGCCTTGCAGTTGTGGACGGCGCAATTCCCGTACCAGGCCGTGATGCAACCGGTCAGGATGCTCTCGATGGTGCAGCGGTAGTACTTGGAGAGGACCCAGGGTGGCATTCCGAATTTCTTCAGCCGCCTTAGGAAGTAGAAGTTCTGTTGCGCCCTCTTGACAAGAGTGGTGGTGTTGTTGGTCCATGCCAAGTCCTCGGTGATGTGGACACAGAATAACTTAAAACTGCAGACACTCTGCAGTCCCGTTGATGTGGATTGGGGCATGTTCTCTCCTCTGCTTCCTGAAGCCAACAATCAACTCCTTTGTTTTGCTGAAGTTGAGGGAGAGGTTGCTGTCCTGGCACCGCAATGCCAGTTCACTTACCTCCTCCCTATAGGCTGACTCATCGTTGTTGGTTATCAGGCCTACAACCGTGGTGTTGTCAGCAAACTTGGAGTTGGTTTTTGTGCAAAGCCACGCAGTCGTGGGTGAACAGGGAGTACAGCAGAGGGCTGAGGACTAGTGTTGTCACGATACCAGAATTTTGACTTTGATACCAGGTTTAGCATCATGATACTCAATCCCAAAATGATCCCACGGCAAAAAAATAAGGCATATTATTAGCCATAGTCACAGAATGGCACTTGATTCAGACAGATCTTTTGTGTTCAATATCATTAGGCTACATTACACATTTTTGAATGTATGCATTAATTAATAATACAATCAATGTGACTTTTTTTTAACCAATCTAACTACATAACAACAATGGTCATAATTTATTTGAATGGTAAATCTCTATTGATATACTGAGTAAATCAAGATGTAGCCTAGGCCTATTCACAATACAGGTGAAAGCATATTTATTAAATAGAAGTGTGTGCATGCATTGAGTTATTGAGCTTGTTTTGGCTGATTTCATGGGGCTACAGATAAAAAATCTGTTTCCCTTACATTTAGGACTTATTTTATTATACTGATCAACAACATTTTCATAGAAGAAGCAATCTCTTATTTTATAAAAGTGAGCACTGTCTCTTTAAGACCCATGTAGTCATTCACACACACACACACACAGTCAGTTCCAAGGCTCAAGCAAAGATGATCTTGACTGGGAGAGACATGAGGTGGGGGAGACGAAGTGAATTAATCAAGTTTTTGGTGACAATCAGCTTTGAAAATATTAGAAATATTTGGCTTTATCGTTTGTATATTATCACAAACAAGGTAATAGGGTAGTGAATTGATCATAGCTTAAGATGTAAGCTAGCAAGGAAAGTTGAGCCTACAAAGCTGGAAGCTACCTGTATCTTCTTGCATTGTAAAGCGTTCTAGCCTGTAATGGACATTGTTTTGCGAACAGTAATTAACAGTTTCAACATTTCTACATGCAGTGTTGCATTATTCAAGTGTTTTAACTTCTGTGCAGTGTAAGTGGTGACGCAGCCCAGACTCCCAGTGAGTGCAGTGGTTCCTCAGGACAGGCTAGAGCTAGCAATGAGTAAGTGGAGCAGGCAAGGTGCACTCACGCGATAAGGGGACATCAGCTGCACTGATAGACATACTTGATCCTCCCTTAATCAGTAGACAACGTGAGACACATTTGACAGAAGTACCGAAAGTTTTTTTTAAATCTAGTCCCGAACCGTTTTTCATTCTAGTATCAAAAAAGTACAGAAGTTTCGGTATACTGTGCAACACCACTGAGGACACACCCGTGGGGGGCACCTGTGTTTAGAGTCAGTGTGGAGGAGGTGTTGTTGCCAATCCTCACAGCCTGTGGTCTGACCATCAGGAAGTCCAGGATCCAGTTGCAGAGGGTAGTGTCCAGACACAGAGTTTGGGAAACCCTGGGCTATAGCCTACTCTATTTAATTGAGACCACACGTGCACCTGATCTCGTGGAATTGCCCAGTAACAGTATTCTGGGTTACACTGGAGCTTGACAACTGGGCCAAAGGGCAAGGGCTTTACAGGTAGGCTACTTGTTGAACTTTTCCCAGACAAGGAAGAAGGGTCATTCCATGTCATTTCAGCAAGCCATGACACCCACCATCTCAGATTGTTCTGAAATTGTTTCTGTAGTTAGAAACTTAAGATAAGCATTCCGGAAACATTATTTTGTTGAAATATAATTTGATTAAGCTAATTGAGTACACCCAAATTGGCCATTTGTATTTAGAGGATTCATATAATATTAAATAATTATAGTACCTAACATCCGATTTGGATCAAACTTTTTTTCTAACAATGAGTATGACATGAGGAATCCAAAGAAGAGGTCAAAAGCCATCCACGGACCCCCCACATCAATCCCAAACCAATAATGAGTATATAGTATAGTTCTCTATGTTTGACAAGTAGTATGGAGCTGCTGCTCGGAGTACTGTTTCTTCATTCTTAATGTAATTTATTCTCAGTAAATTTGGTGATGTTTTTTTTTCCCCTGTTCAGAGAAATGAGTCATTGAAGTTATTGGGTTTATATCCCATCCTACATCCTGATATTACCAGGTTCTGACTACTAGATTGTGCTGATTCTGCTATTAGGTGATTCTTTTTTTAAATTCACTGAGAATACATTACATAGGATGAAACAATACTGAGAGCCGCAGCTCCATACTACTTGTCAAACATAGAGAACTGATACTATATACTCGTTGTTGGGGTGGGATTGGTGTGGGGGGTCCGTGGATGGCTTTTGACAACTTCTTTGGATTCCTCATGTCTTTCTCATTGTTAGAAAAAAGTTTGGTCCAAATCGGATGTTAGGTACTATAATTATTGAATATTATATGAATCCTATAAATTAAAATGGCCAATTTGGGTGCAATCAATTAGCTTAATTTCTCAGAGATCTAATTATATTTCAACAAAATAATGTTGTATGAATGCTAATCTTCTCTGGTTCTAACAACAAAACACTGAGATGGTGGGTGCTTTTTGAGTTGGAACGACCCAGCTGTTTGCATTTTCAGTGATAGCCACATCATTCAGTGACTACTGTTGGGGGAGAAAGTAAGACACGGGAACTCATGGTCTGCATCTGTAGTCTCTAGTCAAGTGTGGCTTTCTTTCCTTCTTTCCTTTCCAACCAGTTCAGACCATTGAGATGCACCCGATGGCTAACTAACCATATTTATGCTCACTGCAATGTGGACAATCCGGACTAGTGATTTGACAGCTAAACAGACTATACACACTGGCCCTCTCTCTGGCCACCCACCCCTACATAGCTGGCATTCCTGGCATGGTTGACCAGAGAGATGGGCAGCCTGGCACCGTGTTATGACCACACACACGTACTGTACACTACTTTTGTGAATGAATGATCTATCCCGTGACCGTCTACACATACCCAGAACACAATGCACCACTAAAACCTTTGATCATCCTGCCCCAATGTGTGTGTGTGTGTGTGTGTGTGTTGCTCCACGTGTCACAGGTAATAAGGCTCCAACACAACTGAGGTAACTATTAACGAACATTCTGCTTTTAGGTGATATGTTCTTTGAATGAGAACAAAATGTCTGCATATCTTAGTAGGCTATTACTTTATTGTGGCTACGCTTAAAAGCTTTGGGTCAAATGAAACAAAGTTTATATCCATTCATGAGGCCATTGACGATCAAACATGCAAAAGTGACTAAATATCTCTTGCACACCCACATCAGAGCAAGGCAGAAGGCCACATGGCATTAATGTGTGATAATAAGCAGCTGTAAGGTCAAACAATGGGATTGGAATGGGGTGTGACTGTGCTGTGTGTGTTGGCAGCTTCTGGTGTTTTCAGGGACAGAGGGCAGGATGTTTGGGACTGGACTTGACACTAGATATTTACAGTAACAGAAAGCCCCCCGCCCCTTCCTGTCCAGGTGGCTCAGTCAGGTCAGTTGTGTTCCAGTAAACCCCCCAACTAGTTTATCTCGCTCCATCTCCCTCCGTATCTGACTCATTCTGTCTCCGTCCGTATCCGTCTCCTTCTCCATCTGTCCTCCAGCTCTCCCACTCTATAAGTCTCCCCCTCTCTCTCAATTTGTTCTCTCTCTCTCTCTCTCTCTCTCTCTCTCTCTCTCTCTCTCTCTCTCAGAGTTGGCACGTGCCCATGCCTGGGGGGGCAGCTGTATTGGGCTGTGGTGGCGCGGGGCTGTGTGGGTTACAGGGACAAAGGCAGGCAGACAAAGCCTGTTTGGGTGGCTCCCATTGAGAAAAGCTGTGTCGGGTGGTAAACAGTGTCACGTTCTCAGTTACAGGGCAGAAGGGGGGACAGGGAGGGACCAGCCCAGATTAGGCTAGGCACACACACACACAGAGGCAAATATCCAGCGGGGACACATTCTGGCCTCAATGTACAAAACAACTCAGAATGACTGGGGAGTTAGACGTGTAGGTTTGTCAGCACTAGACGAGGAGTGGGAAGTTACTCTCACTAGCAAGGCCCCAATGAAACCAGTGTGCATGTCATGTAGCATTAGTGTCATCATCATTTGTCCATCCAGGTCACCGGTGATACAAGTCAGTATTCGACGTCAATCCATGTCTGAGGATGTCAGGAGATGACGTGGAAACCGGCCACTTGGGGCAACAATGAGCGCTGTTACCTTCAAGTAGGTTTCGGTTGTGGACGGGGATGGCAGATGGGCGTAAGTGTCTGCCTCTGATTCCAACGATTGAAAGTAGTTTTTTATATTTTTGTTTTAAGCCTAACCTTAACCCTTATTTTAACCCTTCTGAGTTAATGCCTAACCTTAGCCTTAAACACTTTTAAATTTGACATTTGATAAACATCTAATTCTGACATGAGACTTGGTAGCATATGTCATATATCCCACATGTCAACACATTGCCATAAAACAGCTGACACTTGGGCAGGAGACAAGCGTCACCCGATAGCAGGCCTACCTACCGCTTAGTGCCAATGAATAATGCATTTCCCCAACTGACTGACAGGAACCCTAACCATGGCAGGGTCATACAGAATAATTAACACAAACAGGGTAATAAATAGGTCTATCAATGGACATCAATTCCAGTTTGTATGGAGATAAGAATGAGGCGTGTTTGTGTGTATGTACAGTTGGGGGTGAGTTGTGTCTTGTGTGGGTGTGTGAAGTCAAAGTTAGGTGTGTGTCTGGGGTCAGGAGTGAGGCAATTAGGATGGGGATATGAAGTGGTCATCGGACCATGGGTGACTCACAGGGTATTGTAATCCTCCAGACACACACCTACACAGATTTGGGGCAGTGGAAAATGCAAATTTGATAGGGGCTTTGAGCTAATACATACAGCCGGGCCTCTATTTGGGCTGAAATATATCATGGTACTTGAATAATTCTGCTGGCTAATGTTAACTTCATCTATGCAGCCTGACCCAAATCCCTCACGTCATTGCCAGCTGGTCACTGACGAATACAGATTGCTAGACACATTTAATCCACACACACTTTCTGTAACCACAGACAATATATATATATATTAGTAACTATATTTGCTGTAACTGTCTCCTTTAAATACGCCACGTCTTGAAAGGGAGAGAGAGGTATGACTTTTCTATCAATATATCCATGGAGCACAGAAGACAGACACGAAAATGTCTTATTTAAGGGTGGAGTGGTTGGCTAGTTAGCTACTAATACTCCCAAGGCGCAACCAAGCTAGCTAACTAACACCACTAACTTTCATCTCAGCTTGAATACCTAACTGCAAACTAAATGCAAGAGAAGCTAATGATGCACAGAACATATCTCTGTTTAAAATGTATGCACAGGACGATAAATATATCAAGGGACTGGTCTGATAGCTATGCTAACTTTAGCTAGCTAGCTACTAGTGATGTTGGGCCATTGGCGCATCATTCAGTGGAGAAATGTCAACCTTACCTTGGTCTTGACATGGTTCATGTCCCACGCTGGCCGAAGCTGCTTTATCAGCTTCATTGCTCCATCGGTTACATTATTTTCCTCCACGAAAATCGGGAATTTTCTAATTACCGGCGACCCGACGGGCACGTGTATTTCAGTCTCCATAATGTGGTTTATTTTCCGTTTTGAATTCTTAACTGATATTTCTGGAGTTCGGGACATAAAAAAATATAGCTAACAACAGTTATTTTGTGAGCTGGTTGGTATAAACGGCTAGCTAAACCAGGGGCTTGTCGGTGGGAAAAGCAAAGCTGATGAAGAAGATGCAAGTACCGGTGAGGTTCTCGTCGGTTTTCTCAGGAGCCGGTCAGTCCACTTGGTACCGCCCTCGCGGAATCATCCGATGCTAGACGCGCACACCCGCGGGCTGGGAGCATGACAACCAAAGATTCCAACCGGCGGACGGGGAGCACGCCCACTTTCTATGCCGAGTTTGTCCGAGTGGAGCCGAAGAGCGCCAGAGTTGCCGTTTTCCTTCTTCAGCGTTATGGTTTCCAATCATATACAATGAGTCATTATCAAATAATATGAGAGGATCAACATTTATAACCTTGAATGAGGACCTACTTTGGATCAGAAAACCCTCACATGTCATTGTTTTTACACAACATTTTAGGCTTATTGAGTCGTCACAGGCACTGGACATAACTTGGTCTGGGGCGCCCTCTATTGACAAATCAATATTCTTCTCATTATGATTTGAAGTACCAATTTCCTCCATAGGGTGTCAGTGTTGTAATGCAAATACCAGGCGATTACCAGTGTCAGCAATGTTATTGCATTCAATACACAGTGGGGTCTGAAATGATTGACACCCTTGATAAAGATTTAGCAAAAATGTCTGTATAAAATAAATAATTCAAATACTAATCTAAATTGTATGCAAAAAAAATACTAATGCAATTGTTTAGAGAAAGATATTTTGTTAAAAAAGGTAGGAGTCAAAATTATTGACACCCCTGTTTTCAATACCTTTCAATACCTCACCTTGCGAGGATAACGGCAATGAGCCTTTTTCTCAAATGTTTTATGAGTTGGAGAACATATTAGTAAAGATCTTAGAACATTCCTTCATACAGAATCCTTCCAGATCCTTGATATCCTTCATCTGCGCTTATGGACTGTCCTCTTCAATGGGTTTTAAGTCCGGAGACTGAAATTATTATCAACCCCTTTACATCACTAAATCAATCACAGATATATACACACTAATTATATATACTTTAAAGGCCCAGTGCAATAACAAATGTGATTTTCCTGTATTTACAGTGCATTCGGAAAGTGTTCAGACCCCTTTACTTTTTCCACATTTTGTTACGTTACAGCCTTATTCTAAAATGGATTAAATAAATAAAAATCCTCAGGCCTTCTGAGTGGTACAGCGGTCTAAGGCACTGCAGTGCTTGAGGCGTCACTACAGATCCTGTTTCGATCCCGGGCTGTGTCGCAGCCGGCTGTGACCGGGAGACCCATGAGGCAACGCCCAATTGGCCCAGTTTCGTCCGGGTTAGGGGAGGGTTTGGCAGGCCGGGATATCCTTGTCCCATTGCACTCTAGCGAATGCACGACACATTGGTGCGGCTGGCTTCCGGGTTAAGCAAGCAGTGTGTCAAGAAGCGGTGCGTCTTTGCAGGGGCGTGTTTCGGAGTACGCATGGCTCTCGACCTTCGCCTCTACCGAGTCTGTATGGGAGTTGCAGCGATGGGACAAGACTGTAACTACCAATTGGGGAGAAAAGGGGGTAAAAGAAACACCAAGAAATACAAAAATCAATCTACAGACAATACCCCATAATGACAAAGCGAAAACAGTTTTTTTTTGTTGCTAATGTATTAAAAATAAAAAACAGAAATACCTTATTTACATAAGTATTCAGACCCTTTGCTATGAGACTCAACATTGAGCTCAGGTGCATTCTGTTTCCATTGATCATCCTTGAGATGTTTCTACAACTTGATTGGAGTCCACCTGTGGTAAATTCAATTTATTGGACATGATTTGAAGGGCACACACCTGTGTATATAAGGTCCCACAGTCGACAGTGCATGTCAGAGCAAAAGCCAAGCCATGAGGTCGAAGGAATTGTCCGTAGAGCTCTGAGACAGGATTGTGTCAAGGCACAGATGTGGGGAAGGGTACCAAAACTTTTCTGCAGCATTGAAGGTCCCCAAGAACACAGTGGCCTCCATCATTCTTAAAGGAAGAAGTTTGGAAACACCAAGACTCTTCTTAGAGCTGGTCGCCCGGCCTAACTGAGCAGTCGGGAGAGAAGGGCCTTGGTCAGGGAGGTGACCAAGAACCCGATGGTCACTCTGACAGAGCTCCAGCTCCAGAGTTCCTCTGTGGAGATGGGAGAACCTTCCAGAAGGACAACCATCTATTCAGGCCTTTATGATAGAGTGGCCAGACAGAAGCCACTCCTCAGTAAAAGGCACAACAGCCCCCTTGGAGTTTGCCAAAAGGCACCTAAAGGACTCTTAGACAATAAGAAACAAGATACTCTGGTCTGATGAAACCAAGATTGAACTCTTTGGCCTGAATGCCAAGCATCATGTCTGGAGAAAATCTGGCCCCATCCCTACAGTGAAGCATGGTAGTTGCAGCATCATGCTGTGGGGATGTTTTTCAGCGGCAGGGACTGGGAGACTAGTCAGGATCAAGGGAAAGATGAACGGAGCAAAGTACAGAGAGATCCTTGATGAAAACCTGCTCCAGAGTGCTCAGGACCTCAGACTGTGGCGATGGTTACTTCCAACAGGACAACGACCCTAAGCACACAGCCAAGACAACGCAGGAGTGGCTTCGGGACAAGTCTCTGAATGTCCTTGAGTGGCCCAGCCAGAGCCCGGACATGAACCCGATCTAACATCTCTGGAGAGACCTGAAAGTAGCTGTGCAGCGACGCTCCCCATCCAACCTGACAGAGCTTGAGAGGATCTGCAGAGAAGAATGGGAGAAACTCCCCAAATACAGGTGTGCCAAGCTTGTAATGTCATACCAAAGAAGACTCTAGGCTGTAATCGCTGCCAAAGGTGCTTCAACAAAGTACTGAGTAAAGGGTCTGAATACTTATGTAAATGTGATATTTCATGTTTTTTTTCTTTTACATTTTCAAACATTTCTAAAAACCTGTTTTTTCTTTGTCATTATGGTGAATTGTGTGTAGATTGATGAGGGGGACAATTTAATCAATTTTAGAATAAGGCTGTAACGTAACAAAATGTGGAAAAAGTCAAGGGGTCTGAATACTTTCCGAATGCACTGAGTATACAAAACATTTAGAACAAGACAGAGGTGTACTATTTGCCTTGCTCAGATGCTTTCTCTTGTGAAATACACTGAGTGTACAAAACATATTTCCATGACACAGACTGACCAGGTGAATCCAGGTAAAAGCTATGATCCCTTCTAGATGTCACTTGTTAAAGCCACTTCAATCAGTGTAGATGAAGGGGAGGAGACAAGTTAAAGAAGGATTTTAAAGCCTTAAGACAATTGAAACATGGATTGTGTATGTGTGCCATTCAGAGTGTGAATGGGAAAGACCAAACATTTATGTGCCTTTGAAAGGGGTATGGTAGGAGGTGCCAGGCACACTGGTTTGTGTCAAGAACTGCAACGGTGCTGGGTTTTTCATGCTCAACAGTTTCCTGTGTGTATCAAGAATGGTCCACCACCCAAAGGACATTGTGTCAACTTCACACAATTGTGGGAAGCATTGGAGTCAACATGGGCCAGCTTCCCTGTGGTACGCTTTCAACACCTTGTAGAGTCCATGCCCCCAACAATTTGAAGCTGTTCTGAGGGCATGTGTACATATGAACCATGCAAATGATATGTATTTTATACGTTTACTTTTCATGAAACGGTCACATGCTAATTGCTAACCGCTAACGTTAGCTAGCTCGGTTCTAGGTGCTAGCTAGCCTACCATTTTGAACTTCTAGCTAGCTACTTTTAGCTTATGTTGTTGTTAGCTAGCTTATGTTGTTGTTAGCTAGCTGTTATGGGTTTTTGTTAGGCTACATTTAATACACAGGCCTCTTCTATCAATTAGCACTGTATAAACAGAATGCATGTGATGTACCTTCCTGCACAATGTGTCTGTGAGATTTCACAGAGCACGGACACATCACCAGATGTCATCAGAGGTATGTTTTCTTTTCACTACTAATCTAGAATGGTTAAGTGTGGTACTACATTTTCTCATAGGTGTTCATTCAAACACTGAAAATGAGTGATACTCTCAAAGGTATGTTAAATGCTCTTTTTACATACGCTAGCAAGACGCTGCACCGGTGTCCTGGCCACCAAAACAACATAAAATTCACCTTGTGCTTGTATCCATTGTAGGTTCTTGTGCCACCTATTACGAGATCGTGAGGCAGGCATATCTCTCAGGTTTACCTGAGAAAATAGCGGACACAGTCTTGAGGAAACATGCAGAGATGTGTCACCAGAGGAAACTTTATATAAAAAATTCTCTAAACTAAGTGGATTATTTATATTTAAGCTCCCCTACTGGTATATATTAAAAAGGTTATAGATCTGACTTCATTAGATTATAACTTTTTCTAAATGACAAGATATTAAATCAATGTACATAAAAATCATTTGGTTAGAGTGACTTAGAAAGTTGAGATAAGAAAGATGACATTTGTAGTTGAGCAGCCAGGGAAAGTGTAAAAATTTTTTTTGGTGACATAAAGTGGTTTCTGTGAGAATTACAGGTAGGAAGCGTTTTAACCCAGGGAGGCATTTAACCCCAAACCACTCTACACAGTGTGATGAGGTCATGGCAGCTACCTGTATGTACATGCCTCAATCTGCTGCTTCTCTTCGATCTAAACTCGGAGTCCTATTCTATGTCTGTGGAATGCGGCTGTGAGATCGATGAGAGAGAGAGAGAGAGAGAGAGAGAGAATTCCATTCACTCCATTATTATGAGCCGTCCTCTCCTCAGCAGCCTCCACTGGTGTGTGTGTGTGTGTGAGCCTCCACTGGTGTGTGTGTGT